TATATATATATATATATATATACTAGTCATAACTCGTACCTGAAGGCACGATAAAATATAAAATTCGAGCGCCTAAAAAATCGATCCCACTATATTAAATTTTTTCAAAATATATTAATTACAAATTAATTAAATATTAAATAATTAAATATACAATAAAAATGAATGGTGTAATATTTTTAGGAATGAAATATATAAATGATTAAATATATGATAAAAATGAGTGATGTTATTTGACGTTTGAATCTGACAAATGGAAGATATGTGCGATAAGTGATTGATGATAGTTTTGAGGGNATAATTAAATATACAATAAAAATGAATGGTGTAATATTTTTAGGAATGAAATATATAAATGATTAAATATATGATAAAAATGAGTGATGTTATTTGACGTTTGAATCTGACAAATGGAAGATAGGTGCGATAAGTGATTGATGATAGTTTTGAGGGGNAAATATCACATTTGGTATCAGAAACATTACATAACAAAGATAGATACCCACTCATCTCTAGTAAGGTATATGTGTGGTTGCGAATCACCTTGCCATCACCCGGGAGAGAGGTTTTTCCTGTATTTTCACCATTCACATCCATAGAGATGATGTATTTGGGTGAAGTAACGTGCCAATGCAAGATCTGGTCATTTATCACCACAGGGTCACTCCAACAAAAATTTGGCTTGAAAGGCCGTTCATGTACTTCCTTGAATGGTCCAGGAATCCGTTTCCATCCATTATCAGGGCAACCTAAGGTGAATATCTCAAAACCATATAAATCAGCATAAATATGCACCACCTTGTACTCCTTGGTAGAGGGGTCATATCCAAGTGCTGCCCCGCAAGCCTTATGTGGACAACCAGAAGGGCAATCAGGGAGTTTTACTAAACGCTTCGTAACTAGATTCACCACTTGTAGGGCCCCTCCATCCCTCAGGTTGTATGTGCTCAGTAAAAGCAAGCCGTTACAACTGGACCTGACTAGACCTTTTCTACCCATATTAAAATCATCTAGCTTGAAGTCAAGTTGCTCTTCATCAATTGCCATTAGTTTTACTTTACAGGAATGGGTATTTGCATCAATTGGGACATGAATCAGAAGTTCAGGTTTTGCATGGATGGCATTCTGCGTGATGAATTCGCTTCCAGAGATCATATCTTTCCAAGACCGGCATACTAACCGGCAAATTGCATGAAGGACACTGGCCGGAAGTCTAACAAGAATGCTGAAGATAATGCACTCAGGAAAATCTGACAAGGAAACTTCTTTCTCTTTTAGGACGTGTCGATTACAAATATTCCTGTTCTCCTTACAGAAATTGACTTCTTCCGGAATGTCTTCTGAGTCACCAATTTTAGCAAGTGCCTCCCACATCTTTGTGTGTCGTAGTTACACAAAACTCCAAGCGGTTCTCCTTTACCAAAAAATAACTGAATAAATAAAAACTATTGATGAATTAAAAAATTTAAGGCAACATACATCTAATATAAAAAAAAATATGGAATAAATTTTAGTAAATCTGTATTAGGATGGAATCTGCAAACCTGTTGAGTTGACCATCGTATATAGGTAATTTTCATATGTGATATTGTACTTTCCACATAACTNTAAATTTTAGTAAATCTGTATTAGGATGGAATCTGCAAACCTGTTGAGTTGACCATCATATATAGGTAATTTTCATATGTGATATTGTACTTTCCACATAACANCACAAAAGTCATCGAATAGGTCAGTATTTTCCTTAATTTTGTCCATATTTTAAATACAAAAAAGTGTTCAAGATCACTANTTGACCATCATATATAGGTAATTTTCATATGTGATATTGTACTTTCCACATAACACACAAGCACAACATTGACCAATAATTCATATCATATTGCATAAGTCAAAATTTGGGTTAGAGTTGATACTTCAAAATCACAAGTAACAAATTGACAGATATCCATTGCGATAACACATAAAGCAAAAACTGAACTTGAATTCCAAAAATGATATGGTGTACAACATAATTATATGTGAGTTCGATTATTCCGTAGTTGCTCCTCTTATTTAGTGAGATAAAGAAACTTNGATACTTCAAAATCACAAGTAACAAATTGACAGATATCCATTGCGATAACACATAAAGCAAAAATTGAACTTGAATTCCAAAAATGATATGGTGTATAACATAATTATATGTGAGTTCGATTATTCCGTAGTTGCTCCTCTTATTTAGTGAGATAAAGAAACTTTGTTCAGCCACGTTCCTGAAGCAGTTTGTCATTCAGATAATGAATAAATCTTTTCTAAAATATGACAGCCCATCTATGATCAAAAGGCCACATACAATATGAAGAAGTTGGAACCAAAGTGAAAGTGACAAAGCCCGTCTTGGTGCCTGACCTAAAGTGAAATGGCAAGCACCTCGTGATTCAAATCACACCAGATTGATCTGATNGATCAAAAGGCCACATACAATATGAAGAAGTTGGAACCAAAGTGAAAGTGACAAAGCACGTCTTGGTGCCTGACCTAAAGTGAAATGGCAAGCACCTTGTGATTCAAATCACACCAGATTGATCTGAGAAATAAAGGCCATTGCTGATGGGGCTCATGCAATTAACCAGGCCAAGATGGCATAAATTTTTAAACTTCAATTTTTGTTACTTTTTATTTTGCTGGCAAACAGAGAGCCAAACGTAACAATCCATTTTCTGATTCTTTGGTTTCAGTTTGATGAAAACCTCGATTTGGTTAAGGTTCAAGATCACTACTGATTTAGTTCAGTTCAGCTCTGAATTGGCACTAAACCAAACAAACACACCCATGTCTGCCAGCACCAGTGGCTAAATCTTATAATCTGTACAAAACCATTAACTTTTTCTAGCAAAAAAATAACAAATCATCTCATTAACTTTTCACAGCAGTATAATACCAAACTTCTTATAACTTCATATAGCCATCAGTTCATGATTTTGTTATTGCAAGCTATGGTTCACCTTTTTTGTAAAATTTTTTTTTTTTCATGATTTACAACTTCACAGGTTCTAACCACAAGTTTCAAAATTAAGAAAACCCAACAATGTTCAATTGAAAGATCCCACGCTAACTTCAAATTTCTAATAGCTATCATACAAATCGTATCTCAGTCTCGAGTATCTCCACTTAAACCTGCTAGAACTGTGAAGCCATAAATTTTTTAAACCCTTGCAATTCCCCTTCATGTTGATTTTCAAAAAATCATGAACCCTTCGATTTTTTTATTTTTTTTCAGAATTACACCCCAATTCCTGATAGACCTTTTTCCAGTGAACAAAATTTACACTCCATGGTAAGTAAGTGACCTTCAACCACATAATCTAAACATATATAGACAGGCATAAAAACAAATAAAAACGTTCGAACATATGCATATACATACATATAATCATGTAGATATATGTAAACGTAAATATATACTTGTTTGTATATGTATACACGAATACATTTATGTATGCGAAAGAGTACCTAGTGACGATGAAGTATCGACCCTGAAAAACTCTGAAACAAACAATGGCGTTGCTCGGGAGCGATTTGGTACTCACATACCGAAGAAACCTATTTAATCGAGAATCAACGAATTGGGCAAGTAGAAACGAACACGGAAAGGATCAATAAATGTGTATATGTATATATATTGCCCATCACACCTTTTCCCTTTGCAACTCTTGCCTCCCAACTTACTATATCATACCCCATTTTTTACCCAAAAAGGAAAAGTATGAATTACCATAGTTTTCTGGTTTTTTAGATACACCGATTAGTTTTTTGAATTCGGTGATTATTATCACGATTTGAGTTAGATTCAGTTATCATGATTTGAATTCGATTAAAGTATTTTTTTGAAAAATAATAGTATATGACGTTAAGAATTGAATTTAAAACTCCTGAATCATCAAAAATCAGGATCGATTATTGAATCACTCTTTAAAGTAGTGTACCATAGCCTAGGTTTGTTCAAATAATAAAGTGATTTTCTTAGGTATAAATAATCACCTTTTTTTCTCACCCATTAATCATACACTACTCATCCCTAATGACTTAAATCATAGTCAATCATTGCATTTTTCATTCCCAAAACAAGTATCACCACAGGGGTCTCCACTATGCAAATTATATCTAATAAAAAAAATCTCAAATTTTGATTCAAATTTGAGTTAGATGATCAAAATTTTCAGCTGCAACATCTTTTTTTGGGTTTAACATAACCTATTTTTTAATTTAAAAACAAAATTATTATGTTGCCCTTAATGAAAAATACTAGTATTAATGAGTTTTAAATTTTTATAGTTATTATTAGTTGGTAGCATCTAGTGGTATGACGCCACTTCATATCTTAAAAATCAATAGACACATTAAAAAATAAAAAGTGGCAATTTTTTTTTTAAGAGGGAAAAAAATGAGGGACAAGTGAATAAAAATTGTACAAATGAAGGGTATATACATAAAAATACATTTTCAGTCTAATTAATTATTACTACTCTATTAATGCATGCAAGACACGCAACCTCAGATACCCGAATCTATTCTTATCTGATGTTTGAATGAAGGACACGTTGATCTATTTTTTTCTATCAGATAGCTTAACCTTTCTTCCCTAGCTTTCCTAAGTAAATTTGTTTATCTCTCTTACGATTCCTGGAACGAGAGACTGGGTTGCTCATTCTCCAATTGGTTTAGTGAGGGTGACCACAAAAGTCATCGAATAGGTCAGTATTTTCCTTAATTTTGTCCATATTTTAAATACAAAAAAGTGTTCCCCCCTCCCTCCCCATTGCTGCTTGGTGTGGAATAACATAAGTCCTTTTGGTGAAAAGTTGACCCAAAATTAACTTGCTTTCATCAAAAGGCCTCATCTTTAAAAAGTCCAATTTACATGCGTGATGACAAGTTTTTCAGTGGGCTTTCTAGCCCTTACGATCCCCAGTTACTTGTGTAAGAGGNCCTAATGCTTTTGCAAGGGGGAGGGCTTGCACGCATTTGTCCTCGATCTTTCAATAGCTTTTGTTTGTTCATTCTGTTGATTTCAATCTCAATCTCAATCTCATACCGCTATGTATGATGTTTGCTCTCTCTCTCGCACACGCCCACGCCNGGGAGTTCCTTGATATTAAGGTGTCAAGGTGGTCGAAGAAAAATTGAACAAGTGTTTAATTCTATACATTATGTTATCGTTTCCAGTGTTTTAAATAAATGATCGCTACCCCCTTGGTATGTGTCGCTTTCTTAATCAAAAAATAAGAGATCACGNGTACAAAACCATTAACTTTTTCTAGCAAAAAAATAACAAATCATCTCATTAACTTTTCACAGCAGTATAATACCAAACTTCTTATAACTTCATATAGCCATCAGTTCATGATTTTGTTATTGCAAGCTATGGTTCACCTTTTTTGTAAATTGNAATGAAAAATACTAGTATTAATGAGTTTTAAATTTTTATAGTTATTATTAGTTGGTAGCATCTAGTGGTATGACGCCACTTCATATCTTAAAAATCAATAGACACATTAAAAAATAAAAAGTGGCAATTTTTTTTTTAAGAGGGAAAAAAATGAGGGACAAGTGAATAAAAATTGTACAAATGAAGGGTATATACATAAAAATACATTTTCAGTCTAATTAATTATTACTACTCTATTAATGCATGCAAGACACGCAACCTCAGATACCCGAATCTATTCTTATCTGATGTTTGAATGAAGGACACGTTGATCTATTTTTTTCTATCAGATAGCTTAACCTTTCTTCCCTAGCTTTCCTAAGTAAATTTGTTTATCTCTCTTACGATTCCTGGAACGAGAGACTGGGTTGCTCATTCTCCAATTGGTTTAGTGAGGGTGACCACAAAAGTCATCGAATAGGTCAGTATTTTCCTTAATTTTGTCCATATTTTAAATACAAAAAAGTGTTCCCCCCTCCCTCCCCATTGCTGCTTGGTGTGGAATAACATAAGTCCTTTTGGTGAAAAGTTGACCCAAAATTAACTTGCTTTCATCAAAAGGCCTCATCTTTAAAAAGTCCAATTTACATGCGTGATGACAAGTTTTTCAGTGGGCTTTCTAGCCCTTACGATCCCCAGTTACTTGTGTAAGAGGGAGTTCCTTGATATTAAGGTGTCAAGGTGGTCGAAGAAAAATTGAACAAGTGTTTGATTCTATACATTATGTTATCGCTTCCAGTGTTTTAAATAAATGATCGCTACCCCCTTGGTATGTGTCGCTTTCTTAATCAAAAAATAAGAGATCACCCATTTTTTTGAAGTTATAGGGTCATTTTGTCAAGTTCCTTTGACTTGGTTTTCTCAAGTGCCATAAAATCCCTTACTTGTTTACATGTGTCGAATGAGGTATGATCAGTTCAGCGGAAAAGATCCTAAGGATAATTCTGAGAAATTATTTATTTTTCCTTCACTCAGTGAAATTCGAACACTTAACGCGAATAATAATTCCTTCCTAATCCTATCCAACTTTTNATTTTTTTTTTTTCATGATTTACAACTTCACAGGTTCTAACCACAAGTTTCAAAATTAAGAAAACCCAACAATGTTCAATTGAAAGATCCCACGCTANGTTTTCTCAAGTGCCATAAAATCCCTTACTTGTTTACATGTGTCGAATGAGGTATGAAAAGATCCTAAGGATAATTCTGAGAAATTATTTATTTTTCCTTCACTTAGTGAAATTCGAACACTTAACGCGAATAATAATTCCTTCCTAATCCTATCCAACTTTCNCTAACTTCAAATTTCTAATAGCTATCATACAAATCGTATCTCAGTCTCGAGTATCTCCCCTTAAACCTGCTAGAACTGTGAAGCCATAAATTTTTTAAACCTTTGCAATTCCCCTTCATGTTGATTTTCAAAAAATCATGAACCCTTCGATTTTTTTATTTTTTTTCAGAATTACACCCAANTTTGTATTAATTAAACTTATAAATTATATTTTGCGACAATTTAACTCTTAAATTATACAATTTGTTTTAATGTGACCTTTCCATCTAAATTTGCCAACTTTGACGGAATTACTCCCGTGCAAGTCACATGGGTCTGAGATTAGGGTATAGCTTATAAATCATCNTCATTCGAATATGCCCTTTCTACATTTCAACCAGCTTTGCTCTTGCTCTTGTTCTTGCTATTGCTTTCCATTTTTTTTGCTTGCGACTACTCGTCTTTCTCTCACTGTCACTTTATGTAACTTTTGTAAGTCATCATTCTTAACCTTTATCTTGTTTGTTCTGAAAATACCTTTTTTTTTTCCATCAACATTGTCACAAAAAAAAAAAATAATAGGGAAGATCAGTAATATTTTCAGATAATAAAATGGGCATCTTTTATCTAAAATGAGTCTCATTGTAATAGGGAAGATTATTGTACAATATTATTCGTTTTGAGTTAGGCCTGCATGACTTTAAAACATATTGTAAAATGAATATCTAAAATTTACATATATATCACTATACATCTATCTCGCTAGTCGACGTAAAATTGAGTTATCACAGTAATTTACCCAAATGATTATATTGCTGTTTATGAGGGACACTCGATTTATTATGAGTTTCAATCATGCAATGTAACATCATTAGGTATAACTTATGTTTGAAAGTATAGTACAATGTGAATGATTTTGAGAGAGATGTTAGTGGCCGTTGGATGAATCTGTGTTGAAACTGTCATATAAGCTTAATGAAGTCCGCCCTATTTTGTATTATAAACTAGTCATAACCCGTGCCTAAAGACACGATAAAATATAAAATTCGAGCGCTCAAAAAATTAATCCCACTATAATAAATTTTTTCAACACGTGTATACTGTTGTATATGAATAATGTTTGAAATAAAAATTATATTAACTACAAATTAATCAAATATTAAATGATTAAACATATGATAGAAAAAAGCGATATGATTTTTTTAGGGGAAAAAAATTATTTTTGACTGTTGGATGAATGAATTTGAGACCGTATGATATGTTTCAAGATCAGCTATAATCGTTGACTTTTTAAGGGAGGAAATATTAAGGAAAAAAATTATAATTTCTTGACCGTTGGATGAATAAATTTGAAACCATAGTATAGGCTTGTTGAAGTCAACCTGTATTATATTATAGATTATAGATATCCTCCTAGTATATATGAATACTAAACCTTATCTCTTAACAAAACAAATTCTCACTAACCAGTGACCTAATTCAGTAGAGTCATTTGATTAGTTGTAAGTTTTAATGTTAGATCGGACCGTCTTTTAACCCAATAAATTGTATTAAATTAGATCTCCAAATTATATTAAAATAATATTTTTCTAATATTTTGTTACCTTAATAAAAAAAATAAAATTACTGGACCCATGACTTGTGATGTTAAGGCGTACGACAAACCGCACGAGCAGCTTGGTCCCAGGTAACAGCAGTTGTCAAAGTCACTCTCTACTCCCCTCGCGGTCATTAAATAGCATCACATTGACCATATTGCCCCTCATCCTCTTCCCAATTTTGCCGGCTCGCACTATGTAAGAAAAAATACTGGAGGTAACGGTTATATCAGTAGTGTCATAATAATTAATTAATAAAAAATAAATCAGTAAATGAGTCTTATTAAAATTTATAACTACCGAGCTGTATCATACATCAATGATATGATAGAAAGTGAACTATAATTTATTTTATTTTTTATTCTTATTATATTAGATGGTTATTGACACAGTATAACAGTTACACCTAGTATTTACTCCACAAATAGGCCTCAAATTCTGATCCGAATTTGATTAGATGGATTTGAATTAATGTTTTTATTGATAATTCAAACTAAAATTCCAATCCGAACTAAAATATAATATCTTATATTTTGATAAATTTGAATTTGAATATACTTATATCTGATACTAATTATTTATATATAATTTTTTATATAAATATTAAAAAAATTAAATAATTATTTAAACAAATTTAAATTCAGTTAAAATTCGATAAAAACCCGATCAAGCCTACTCACCAGCAACGCCCTCTCTGTCCACCCCTCCGGGGCGGTACCCCTGTCCTCCTAATCCTTCCTTATTTCGCTTTTTGTTTTTTTTTTTCAATTTTATATTTTCCGCGTGTATATAATTAATTTGTTTTCTTTTAAGTTTTTTTTTGATCTTCTTAATTTTGATTCATCATTTCGAATCTTTCAAGTTCGCTCTCTCCAACTCCGATTCTCATGCCCGGTCGTCCTCATGGACTGACCAACAAATCTCTGCGATCTCTCCCCCTCTCCAAAAACAGTGGAGCTCTCTCTCTCTCTCTAGGGTTTTGGAGTTGGACTTTTCACTTGTAAACACAGCCTTCGAGAATTATTTCCTAAAATTGTAGGGTTTAGGTCGTTTAAAGTTTCCGTACAACAGAAGACAAGCCTTTTGTCGGTTTCGACCTTTTTTTTTTCTTTCACTATAATTCTTGCGCAGGTGTGTGTTGAAGCTTTCCGGTGCCGTTGATTAGATTTCTTTCGTTGAGGTTTGAGTTGTTCTTTATTGAATTTGCTGAATTACTGCTTTCGCACTTCCTTTGAGTTTTTTTATACTATAGGGTTTAGGTCGTTTAAAGTTTCCGTACAACAGAAGACAAGCCTTTTGTGGGTTTCGACCTTTTTTTTTCACTATGCTTCTTGCGCAGGTGTGTGTTGAAGCTTTCCGGTGCCGTTGATTAGATTTCTTTCGTTGAGGTTTGAGTTGTTCTTTATTGAATTTGATGAATTACTGCTTTCGCACTTCCTTTGAGTTTTTTTATACTATTTTTTCCCAAAGTTTTTGGATTATGGAAACCAGAATTCGTGTGTGAAATTGCTATTTGGTGTTCCATTTTCTGTTACTGCGTCGGAAAATGTATGAAAACACGTCAATATGAAGTCATGAATGTTAGTTTTTTCAGCGATTCTGATTAGACAATTCGTTTCCCCCTTCCCCCCCTTTTGACTAAGAAATCGTTAGTTTTTGATTGACTGGGGTTAAAGGGAGGCATTTGGTTGGTTAATTTCTTGTGCAATTACAATTTGAAATTTCTACCCGTTGCTTTAGTTTTGCTAGTGTTTCAAGAAAGGGTTAGTGCTGTTTTGTGAATGGAAAATTATTGGCATATCCCTTTTGTTGGCTTTCAGGATTTGACTTATCGGGTGATTATTTCACAATTGTTATACTCGTCTTTGTTATTTGTTTGGATGGTTTGTTTAAAAATGCTTATGCTTTAGTGCAATTTTAGAAAGTTGGCTGCATGGCTGGCAATGAACTATACGTATATGATTTTTCTTTTGTACCACTTTTGTTGATTCCCAGGACATGAAGTTTGTAATAGTGTTCTAAATCATCTCACACAGGGCAACTATCTGAAATTGTTTGTTATTGCCTTTTCAGTTATGTGGGATTTGTTGAGTGACTATTTTGCTTGAGTGATTAGAGCAAGTTGTTGTTTTGTACAATGTCGCAGCTTGAGTTCACACAAATTTACTGATACTGTATCTTATCCTTCTTAGGTATATATTTTATATTTGTTAGAGTTGGCAACATCACCATAATAAATGGTCCAGAGAAAATATTGCATGCTGACTGTTAGGTTTTCCCTTGATTTTGATCCGAAAATCATGGGTTCTACTTAACTAAGTCTAGTACATAATGAGACTAAGGTTGGTTACCTTAGTCCTTTGTTTTCTTGGTGCAAGTACATAAGGAGACTATGCGATTAGTTGAGATGGGCTGAATTGGAGGATCAGCGCTTCATACGTACAAGAAATTATGAATTATTTTATGTCAAGTCGTAATCATTGCACACAGGGTGACTATATCATTTTTCATTATGGCACTTGAGTAACTTGGGTTGTTTGTGTGAGAATGCTTATTCTTCTCTTTTTTTCCCTTTTTCCTTTTCCTTTTTTGGCATTCAATTATGATATACGCTTGTATTTGACATTGTTGGCAGCTTAAGTTTGACATACTTCTATCTTATCCAGTTTAGGTAAAAAACCTTAGTTGTTGGCATTGCCAATAATTCCGTAATAAATTTCCTAGTGGATCTTTGGCAAATGTTTCTTGGTGCATCTTGAATGATTGCCAGCATGGACTTGAATGCCTCGCCACAGCCAGAAGAAGATGAAGAAACTTTTGTACCACATTTTGAAGAAGATAATGCCCCAGAGGAACATATTGAACATATAGAGACTGGAGCTGATATTGCCCGTCGGGTACTTCAATCTTTATTGTTCAATGATTTGTATGCATCTTCTTTTGAAAGATTCATTTTCTTCTTGGACCCTTCTTTTATGCGCTTTAGGCGTTTACTGTTGAAGAAATGTTGAAGAAATCCCAACACATTTATTCTTGGTGGAGTAATGGAAAAAATGTCAATTTTTTTCCGATAGGAACGGAAACACTGTCATTTGCTCTTATGCTTTTGTTAGATATTGGACACGGACTTGTAATGCACATCCTCTCCAACTTATTTTTTCACCTGCCTTTTTTTTTTGGTTTTAATTTTTTATTAGTTGGACTTTCCACCATCAAAGTTTGAATTGATCTGCACTTTAATCTTCAATCTTTCAATTCCTAATGCTTTTGCAAGGGGGAGGGCTTGCACGCATTTGTCCTCGATCTTTCAATAGCTTTTGTTTGTTCATTCTGTTGATTTCAATCTCAATCTCAATCTCATACCGCTATGTATGATGTTTGCTCTCTCTCTCGCACACGCACACGCACAGAGATATATGAATACATGTGTATATGTTTTGTCATGAATTTGTGCAGATATAAGGAATACTCTTTTCTTTAATTTTTTTTGATCCTGAACTGAAAATCTTTATGCTTGGGTCCACTTGCTAGATTGTTGATTTATATACTTCTTGCATTAGGAGCGTGAGGAAAGACGTCAGCGTCTACGAAGAGGACGCGAGGATGGGAGACCAACTTTACATGATGGGATGTTCCAAACAAAAAAGCAAAGATCTCATGATAGACTTCCGCCAGGCAATTTTTGTTCTAATTGATATAATTGATTCTTTACAATTGAATGATACTTTGATTTTTCTACATCATGATATGATTATCATTATTATTGTCTTTTGGAACTACGATATTAGAACTATTAAATAGTGCTAGTAATTCAGTTATTATTTTTTATTTTTAGATTAGATGTCTCAGTGCTGAGTTTAAGTGAGATTTTCGATGTCTCAGTGCTTATTTTAAGTGGTTCTCAAATTACTACGATATCAGAATTGTTAAATAGTGCTAGTAATTCAGTTAGTATTTTTGTTTTTAGATTAGATGTCTCAGTGCTTAGTTTAAGTGAGATTTTTGATGTCTCAGTGCTTAGTTTTAGTGGTTGTTAACTGTTCATCATACCGTCCGTCTATCCTCTATCTAAACTTTTTGATTGTTGTAGGTTGGTTGGATTGTCCTGCATTTGGTCAGGAAGTCGGTTGTATTATTCCTTCAAAAGTTCCACTTGATGAATCCTTCAATGACTATGTTGTCCCTGGTAAAAGATACTCGTTCAGGCAAGTGATTCATCAACAGAGAGTTTTAGGAAGAAAGGTGAGTATGTTGAACTCAAACTTTCTTCTTTCTTATTCTGAGTTTTGGAAATCTACAACACTTGCTCTTTTAAACTGTCATGTGTCAGTAATAATATGGGAATGAACTTCTATGTCTTGGTAATCAAGCTAGCAGCGTCTTGAAAATTGTCAGACTTGCACATTCGTGTAAATGCTGAAAACCTTTTATCAGTTCACTGGAAGAGCCATAAAAGAGTTAGCATGCGAAACATCTAATTCTAATGGAGGATACACCAATACTCTTATCTGGTATAAGAGTTTGGATCATCTAGTGCAAAAATGGAGCTTGATTTTGATGGCCAATACAGTAAAAGTTCTTTTCTTCTTCCTTTTGGTTGATATTTGATAGCCTACACCAGACAAGCCTATAAGTTTTAACAAAGGGTGTCCTCATCTGATGAGTTTTTATTGAATGTCATGAGAAAAACTATCCAACATGATTTGATTGTATAACTGAACATTTGGAATTTTGTCTAATGAATTTCCAGCTTGGCTTGGTGATCGATCTTACAAACACTACTCGTTACTATTCTATCGCAGATTGGAAGAAAGACGGTATAAAGCATGTTAAGGTGGGTAATTGATTACAAAATAAAAATCTTATTTGTCTGCACTCTCAGACTGCGATAATAGGGGTCTCGACCTCTAAAATATGCTTTTGTGATTCAGATTTGTTGCAGGGGGCGTGATTCTGTACCTGATAACGAGTCTGTAAATCAATTTGTTTATGAAGTAAGTTCTCCGTTGGCACGCCCACATTACTTTTGTGCTTTTTGTAGCATGTATGTTCTTTTGCATATTCTTAGAGAATCCTTTTGGACCCTTGTTAGTACTGCAGCATAATAGATCTAAATCCAACTGGATTTCATCTTACTGCATTGGTTGTATTCAGGTAAAATTACAGCTAAGTTTCTTCTGGGCAGTAGTTGTGTAGGGGGAAATAACATGTCAGTGTTACATGACATTGTACCTAAACGAGTCCTTAATGCACTAGTTCCTCATATTTGTCGTAGTTCATGGGTTGGACCACAATAGAATTCTTTCCTTCTGAGCCATTGAAGCATGTTAAGGAATAAAGGTTGAGCAATGCTCTTTTTACCCATTTGCATGTATGCACTATGTTGTTTTCTTGTGTATCTACTTAGTTCTTGTCCTATATTTATGACTGTTCTATTTGTTGATCCATAATCGAAGTGAAGCTTCTTTTTTCTTAGAAGCCTAGCCTTGAAGGTGGGCCTTGCTTAAGATAGTTAATAAATAATTGCATTTTCTCAGGTTTCACAATTTCTTGCCCGACAGAGACCGCCAAAAAAGTATATTCTTGTTCATTGCACCCATGGACATAACCGAACTGGCTATATGATTGTTCATTATCTTATGCGTACAACATCAATATCTGTCACTCAGGTCAGTTATTTTTCTATGTTTTTGGCTCATTCAGTCAAAGAATCCATATGCCTGGGGATTATATCTGGCTTGCCTGTGATGCAGGCAATAAAAATCTTTGCTGAAGCACGTCCGCCAGGGATATACAAACCGGATTATATTGATGCTTTGTACACCTTTTATCATGAAAAGAAGCCTGACGGAGACATTTGCCCTGCAATTCCGGACTGGAAAAGGTCATCTGAACTTGATCTGAATGGTGATGCAATTCCGGATGACGATGATGACGGAGGTTCTGCTGCTCCTGTGCATGTATGGTTTTCAAAAGAATTCTATTAGCATGTAGTTCTGAAATGTTTGCAGTCCTTTGAGGAAATTAAGCTACAGGGAAAGAAGGTTGAAGGATTCTTCAAGCCCTATTAGTGGGCAGAAGAATACACTATTAACAAAACAGACTGTCCATATACCTCTCTTGTCCAAGTCCACAAAGCTCTAGCAGTTATTGTGTAGGCTTCCTTTTACCTAGAAAGCAGACTGCTGCGCTGGGTCAGCAGATTTAAGAAGCCTTTTAATCTTTTTCTTCAAAGCTCCAGAAATATTCGAAATGTCTCATCAAGTGATCGTAGCTCCAGTATTCCTAGAATCTTGATCTCACCCGACCTAAATGCACTGGACAAGATCTCTAAGCTAATGAGCGCTTTTTATTGCTCTTTTCATCTATTATATTTCTAGTTGAAACCTAAGGTGTTCAACCATTTGATGCGTATTGACTGCTGATATTCCCTGACTGGTTCTTTGATTGGAATTTTGTTTTGTTTTCATTTTCTCTCTGAATCTGTTGGGTTGTAATTTAACGGCTTTCTGCTTGCTTGTACCCTCGATTGAGTAAATACTCTCTTGTATTTTCTCTTTGAGCAGCTTCTATAATGTATTTCACAGATAATCAGGGAAGCTTGGAGCCATCTGCTAGTGAAGCGATTTTCCTGAGAAACTGCTTGATAGGGACCATTTTCCTTTAGAATAAATTTGATGTTTTAAGAAATACCACATGTAATATTCGTATAAGCAAGTGAAACAATTAAGAACTACATTATCTATATAAAGGGGAAGAGTAAACCTTATAACATTGCTAAAAGCTAGCTATATTCCATTTTCCAAGTTTCAGGGAAGTTAAAGAGCAGCAATGTCATGAAAAATAAGTGTGGCTTAAAGTAGATGTCGAGATTTCTCTTTGTTTTGTTAATATTTTTCTGATGTCATACTAAGATGAAGTAGCAGCAAGAAAAAAGGGCATAATAGGAACGAGTACANAGTATTTACTCCACAAATAGGCCTCAAATTCTGATCCGAATTTGATTAGATGGATTTGAATTAATGTTTTTATTGATAATTCAAACTAAAATTCCAATCCGAACTAAAATATAATATCTTATATTTTGATAAATTTGAATTTGAATATACTTATATCTGATACTAATTATTTATATATAATTTTTTATATAAATATTAAAAAAATTAAATAATTATTTAAACAAATTTAAATTCAGTTAAAATTCGATAAAAACCCGATCAAGCCTACTCACCAGCAACGCCCTCTCTGTCCACCCCTCCGGGGCGGTACCCCTGTCCTCCTAATCCTTCCTTATTTCGCTTTTTGTTTTTTTTTTTCAATTTTATATTTTCCGCGTGTATATAATTAATTTGTTTTCTTTTAAGTTTTTTTTTGATCTTCTTAATTTTGATTCATCATTTCGAATCTTTCATGTTCGCTCTCTCCAACTCCGATTCTCATGCCCGGTCGTCCTCATGGACTGACCAACAAATCTCTGCGATCTCTCCCCCTCTCCAAAAACAGCGGAGCTCTCTCTCTCTCTCTAGGGTTTTGGAGTTGGACTTTTCACTTGTAAACACAGCCTTCGAGAATTATTTCCTAAAATTGTAGGGTTTAGGTCGTTTAAAGTTTCCGTACAACAGAAGACAAGCCTTTTGTCGGTTTCGACCTTTTTTTTTTCTTTCACTATAATTCTTGCGCAGGTGTGTGTTGAAGCTTTCCGGTGCCGTTGATTAGATTTCTTTCGTTGAGGTTTGAGTTGTTCTTTATTGAATTTGCTGAATTACTGCTTTCGCACTTCCTTTGAGTTTTTTTATACTATAGGGTTTAGGTCGTTTAAAGTTTCCGTACAACAGAAGACAAGCCTTTTGTGGGTTTCGACCTTTTTTTTTCACTATGCTTCTTGCGCAGGTGTGTGTTGAAGCTTTCCGGTGCCGTTGATTAGATTTCTTTCGTTGAGGTTTGAGTTGTTCGTTATTGAATTTGATGAATTACTGCTTTCGCACTTCTTTTGAGTTTTTTTATACTATTTTTTCCCAAAGTTTTTGGATTATGGAAACCAGAATTCGTGTGTGAAATTGCTATTTGGTGTTCCATTTTCTGTTACTGCGTCGGAAAATGTATGAAAACACGTCAATATGAAGTCATGAATGTTAGTTTTTTCAGCGATTCTGATTAGACAATTCGTTTCCCCCTTCCCCCCCTTTTGACTAAGAAATCGTTAGTTTTTGATTGACTGGGGTTAAAGGGAGGCATTTGGTTGGTTAATTTCTTGTGCAATTACAATTTGAAATTTCTACCCGTTGCTTTAGTTTTGCTAGTGTTTCAAGAAAGGGTTAGTGCTGTTTTGTGAATGGAAAATTATTGGCATATCCCTTTTGTTGGCTTTCAGGATTTGACTTATCGGGTGATTATTTCACAATTGTTATACTCGTCTTTGTTATTTGTTTGGATGGTTTGTTTAAAAATGCTTATGCTTTAGTGCAATTTTAGAAAGTTGGCTGCATGGCTGGCAATGAACTATACATATATGATTTTTCTTTTGTACCACTTTTGTTGATTCCCAGGACATGAAGTTTGTAATAGTGTTCTAAATCATCTCACACAGGGCAACTATCTGAAATTGTTTGTTATTGCCTTTTCAGTTATGTGGGATTTGTTGAGTGACTATTTTGCTTGAGTGATTAGAGCAAGTTGTTGTTTTGTACAATGTCGCAGCTTGAGTTCACACAAATTTACTGATACTGTATCTTATCCTTCTTAGGTATATATTTTATATTTGTTAGAGTTGGCAACATCACCATAATAAATGGTCCAGAGAAAATATTGCATGCTGACTGTTAGGTTTTCCCTTGATTTTGATCCGAAAATCATGGGTTCTACTTAACTAAGTCTAGTACATAATGAGACTAAGGTTGGTTACCTTAGTCCTTTGTTTTCTTGGTGCAAGTACATAAGGAGACTATGCGATTAGTTGAGATGGGCTGAATTGGAGGATCAGCGCTTCATACGTACAAGAAATTATGAATTATTTTATGTCAAGTCGTAATCATTGCACACAGGGTGACTATATCATTTTTCATTATGGCACTTGAGTAACTTGGGTTGTTTGTGTGAGAATGCTTATTCTTCTCTTTTTTTCCCTTTTTCCTTTTCCTTTTTTGGCATTCAATTATGATATACGCTTGTATTTGACATTGTTGGCAGCTTAAGTTTGACATACTTCTATCTTATCCAGTTTAGGTAAAAAACCTTAGTTGTTGGCATTGCCAATAATTCCGTAATAAATTTCCTAGTGGATCTTTGGCAAATGTTTCTTGGTGCATCTTGAATGATTGCCAGCATGGACTTGAATGCCTCGCCACAGCCAGAAGAAGATGAAGAAACTTTTGTACCACATTTTGAAGAAGATAATGCCCCAGAGGAACATATTGAACATATAGAGACTGGAGCTGATATTGCCCGTCGGGTACTTCAATCTTTATTGTTCAATGATTTGTATGCATCTTCTTTTGAAAGATTCATTTTCTTCTTGGACCCTTCTTTTATGCGCTTTAGGCGTTTACTGTTGAAGAAATGTTGAAGAAATCCCAACACATTTATTCTTGGTGGAGTAATGGAAAAAATGTCAATTTTTTTCCGATAGGAACGGAAACACTGTCATTTGCTCTTATGCTTTTGTTAGATATTGGACACGGACTTGTAATGCACATCCTCTCCAACTTATTTTTTCACCTTCCTTTTTTTTTTGGTTTTAATTTTTTATTAGTTGGACTTTCCACCATCAAAGTTTGAATTGATCTGCACTTTAATCTTCAATCTTTCAATTCCTAATGCTTTTGCAAGGGGGAGGGCTTGCACGCATTTGTCCTCGATCTTTCAATAGCTTTTGTTTGTTCATTCTGTTGATTTCAATCTCAATCTCAATCTCATACCGCTATGTATGATGTTTGCTCTCTCTCTCGCACACGCCCACGCCCACGCACAGAGATATATGAATACATGTGTATATGTTTTGTCATGAATTTGTGCAGATATAAGGAATACTCTTTTCTTTAATTTTTTTTGATCCTGAACTGAAAATCTTTATGCTTGGGTCCACTTGCTAGATTGTTGATTTATATACTTCTTGCATTAGGAGCGTGAGGAAAGACGTCAGCGTCTACGAAGAGGACGCGAGGATGGGAGACCAACTTTACATGATGGGATGTTCCAAACAAAAAAGCAAAGATCTCATGATAGACTTCCGCCAGGCAATTTTTGTTCTAATTGATATAATTGATTCTTTACAATTGAATGATACTTTGATTTTTCTACATCATGATATGATTATCATTATTATTGTCTTTTGGAACTACGATATTAGAACTATTAAATAGTGCTAGTAATTCAGTTATTATTTTTTATTTTTAGATTAGATGTCTCAGTGCTGAGTTTAATTGAGATTTTCGATGTCTCAGTGCTTATTTTAAGTGGTTCTCAAATTACTACGATATCAGAATTGTTAAATAGTGCTAGTAATTCAGTTAGTATTTTTGTTTTTAGATTAGATGTCTCAGTGCTTAGTTTAAGTGAGATTTTTGATGTCTCAGTGCTTAGTTTTAGTGGTTGTTAACTGTTCATCATACCGTCCGTCTATCCTCTATCTAAACTTTTTGATTGTTGTAGGTTGGTTGGATTGTCCTGCATTTGGTCAGGAAGTCGGTTGTATTATTCCTTCAAAAGTTCCACTTGATGAATCCTTCAATGACTATGTTGTCCCTGGTAAAAGATACTCGTTCAGGCAAGTGATTCATCAACAGAGAGTTTTAGGAAGAAAGGTGAGTATGTTGAACTCAAACTTTCTTCTTTCTTATTCTGAGTTTTGGAAATCTACAACACTTGCTCTTTTAAACTGTCATGTGTCAGTAATAATATGGGAATGAACTTCTATGTCTTGGTAATCAAGCTAGCAGCGTCTTGAAAATTGTCAGACTTGCACATTCGTGTAAATGCTGAAAACCTTTTATCAGTTCACTGGAAGAGCCATAAAAGAGTTAGCATGCGAAACATCTAATTCTAATGGAGGATACACCAATACTCTTATCTGGTATAAGAGTTTGGATCATCTAGTGCAAAAATGGAGCTTGATTTTGATGGCCAATACAGTAAAAGTTCTTTTCTTCTTCCTTTTGGTTGATATTTGATAGCCTACACCAGACAAGCCTATAAGTTTTAACAAAGGGTGTCCTCATCTGATGAGTTTTTATTGAATGTCATGAGAAAAACTATCCAACATGATTTGATTGTATAACTGAACATTTGGAATTTTGTCTAATGAATTTCCAGCTTGGCTTGGTGATCGATCTTACAAACACTACTCGTTACTATTCTATCGCAGATTGGAAGAAAGACGGTATAAAGCATGTTAAGGTGGGTAATTGATTACAAAATAAAAATCTTATTTGTCTGCACTCTCAGACTGCGATAATAGGGGTCTCGACCTCTAAAATATGCTTTTGTGATTCAGATTTGTTGCAGGGGGCGTGATTCTGTACCTGATAACGAGTCTGTAAATCAATTTGTTTATGAAGTAAGTTCTCCGTTGGCACGCCCACATTACTTTTGTGCTTTTTGTAGCATGTATGTTCTTTTGCATATTCTTAGAGAATCCTTTTGGACCCTTGTTAGTACTGCAGCATAATAGATCTAAATCCAACTGGATTTCATCTTACTGCATTGGTTGTATTCAGGTAAAATTACAGCTAAGTTTCTTCTGGGCAGTAGTTGTGTAGGGGGAAATAACATGTCAGTGTTACATGACATTGTACCTAAACGAGTCCTTAATGCACTAGTTCCTCATATTTGTCGTAGTTCATGGGTTGGACCACAATAGAATTCTTTCCTTCTGAGCCATTGAAGCATGTTAAGGAATAAAGGTTGAGCAATGCTCTTTTTACCCATTTGCATGTATGCACTATGTTGTTTTCTTGTGTATCTACTTAGTTCTTGTCCTATATTTATGACTGTTCTATTTGTTGATCCATAATCGAAGTGAAGCTTCTTTTTTCTTAGAAGCCTAGCCTTGAAGGTGGGCCTTGCTTAAGATAGTTAATAAATAATTGCATTTTCTCAGGTTTCACAATTTCTTGCCCGACAGAGACCGCCAAAAAAGTATATTCTTGTTCATTGCACCCATGGACATAACCGAACTGGCTATATGATTGTTCATTATCTTATGCGTACAACATCAATATCTGTCACTCAGGTCAGTTATTTTTCTATGTTTTTGGCTCATTCAGTCAAAGAATCCATATGCCTGGGGATTATATCTGGCTTGCCTGTGATGCAGGCAATAAAAATCTTTGCTGAAGCACGTCCGCCAGGGATATACAAACCGGATTATATTGATGCTTTGTACACCTTTTATCATGAAAAGAAGCCTGACGGAGACATTTGCCCTGCAATTCCGGACTGGAAAAGGTCATCTGAACTTGATCTGAATGGTGATGCAATTCCGGATGACGATGATGACGGAGGTTCTGCTGCTCCTGTGCATGTATGGTTTTCAAAAGAATTCTATTAGCATGTAGTTCTGAAATGTTTGCAGTCCTTTGCGGAAATTAAGCTACAGGGAAAGAAGGTTGAAGGATTCTTCAAGCCCTATTAGTGGGCAGAAGAATACACTATTAACAAAACAGACTGTCCATATACCTCTCTTGTCCAAGTCCACAAAGCTCTAGCAGTTATTGTGTAGGCTTCCTTTTACCTAGAAAGCAGACTGCTGCGCTGGGTCAGCAGATTTAAGAAGCCTTTTAATCTTTTTCTTCAAAGCTCCAGAAATATTCGAAATGTCTCATCAAGTGATCGTAGCTCCAGTATTCCTAGAATCTTGATCTCACCCGACCTAAATGCACTGGACAAGATCTCTAAGCTAATGAGCGCTTTTTATTGCTCTTTTCATCTATTATATTTCTAGTTGAAACCTAAGGTGTTCAACCATTTGATGCGTATCGACTGCTGATATTCCCTGACTGGTTCTTTGATTGGAATTTTGTTTTGTTTTCATTTTCTCTCTGAATCTGTTGGGTTGTAATTTAACGGCTTTCTGCTTGCTTGTACCCTCGATTGAGTAAATACTCTCTTGTATTTTCTCTTTGAGCAGCTTCTATAATGTATTTCACAGATAATCAGGGAAGCTTGGAGCCATCTGCTAGTGAAGCGATTTTCCTGAGAAACTGCTTGATAGGGACCATTTTCCTTTAGAATAAATTTGATGTTTTAAGAAATACCACATGTAATATTCGTATAAGCAAGTGAAACAATTAAGAACTACATTATCTATATAAAGGGGAAGAGTAAACCTTATAACATTGCTAAAAGCTAGCTATATTCCATTTTCCAAGTTTCAGGGAAGTTAAAGAGCAGCAATGTCATGAAAAATAAGTGTGGCTTAAAGTAGATGTCGAGATTTCTCTTTGTTTTGTTAATATTTTTCTGATGTCATACTAAGATGAAGTAGCAGCAAGAAAAAAGGGCATAATAGGAACGAGTACAACAGCAGGTGATAAACTGAGTTATTTTGCTGGGAAGGTAAAGTGTTTTTGATGCATGAAGTAATGCAGTTCAGATTGAGAATCTGTAATGATAATTGAAGTTCATGAAAGACAAGTAGCNCAACAGCAGGTGATAAACTGAGTTATTTTGCTGGGAAGGTAAAGTGTTTTTGATGCAGGAAGTAATGCAGTTCAGATTGAGAATCTGTAATGATAATTGAAGTTCATGAAAGACAAGTAGTNACTGTATCTTATCCTTCTTAGGTATATATTTTATATTTGTTAGAGTTGGCAACATCACCATAATAAATGGTCCAGAGAAAATATTGCATGCTGAATGTTAGGTTTTCCCTTGATTTTGATCCGAAAATCATGGGTTCTACTTAACCGAGTCTAGTACANTTTTCACTATAATTCTTGCGCAGGTGTGTGTTGAAGCTTTCCGGTGCCGTTGATTAGATTTCTTTCGTTGAGGTTTGAGTTGTTCTTTATTGAATTTGCTGAATTACTGCTTTCGCACTTCCTTTGAGTTTTTTTATACTATAGGGTTTAGGTCGTTTAAAGTTTCCGTACAACAGAAGACAAGCCTTTTGTGGGTTTCGACCTTTTTTTTTCACTATGCTTCTTGCGCAGGTGTGTGTTGAAGCTTTCCGGTGCCGTTGATTAGATTTCTTTCGTTGAGGTTTGAGTTGTTCTTTATTGAATTTGATGAATTACTGCTTTCGCACTTCCTTTGAGTTTTTTTATACTATTTTTTCCCAAAGTTTTTGGATTATGGAAACCAGAATTCGTGTGTGAAATTGCTATTTGGTGTTCCATTTTCTGTTACTGCGTCGGAAAATGTATGAAAACACGTCAATATGAAGTCATGAATGTTAGTTTTTTCAGCGATTCTGATTAGACAATTCGTTTCCCCCTTCCCCCCCTTTTGACTAAGAAATCGTTAGTTTTTGATTGACTGGGGTTAAAGGGAGGCATTTGGTTGGTTAATTTCTTGTGCAATTACAATTTGAAATTTCTACCCGTTGCTTTAGTTTTGCTAGTGTTTCAAGAAAGGGTTAGTGCTGTTTTGTGAATGGAAAATTATTGGCATATCCCTTTTGTTGGCTTTCAGGATTTGACTTATCGGGTGATTATTTCACAATTGTTATACTCGTCTTTGTTATTTGTTTGGATGGTTTGTTTAAAAATGCTTATGCTTTAGTGCAATTTTAGAAAGTTGGCTGCATGGCTGGCAATGAACTATACGTATATGATTTTTCTTTTGTACCACTTTTGTTGATTCCCAGGACATGAAGTTTGTAATAGTGTTCTAAATCATCTCACACAGGGCAACTATCTGAAATTGTTTGTTATTGCCTTTTCAGTTATGTGGGATTTGTTGAGTGACTATTTTGCTTGAGTGATTAGAGCAAGTTGTTGTTTTGTACAATGTCGCAGCTTGAGTTCACACAAATTTACTGATACTGTATCTTATCCTTCTTAGGTATATATTTTATATTTGTTAGAGTTGGCAACATCAGCATCACCATAATAAATGGTCCAGAGAAAATATTGCATGCTGACTGTTAGGTTTTCCCTTGATTTTGATCCGAAAATCATGGGTTCTACTTAACTAAGTCTAGTACATAATGAGACTAAGGTTGGTTACCTTAGTCCTTTGTTTTCTTGGTGCAAGTACATAAGGAGACTATGCGATTAGTTGAGATGGGCTGAATTGGAGGATCAGCGCTTCATACGTACAAGAAATTATGAATTATTTTATGTCAAGTCGTAATCATTGCACACAGGGTGACTATATCATTTTTCATTATGGCACTTGAGTAACTTGGGTTGTTTGTGTGAGAATGCTTATTCTTCTCTTTTTTTCCCTTTTTCCTTTTCCTTTTTTGGCATTCAATTATGATATACGCTTGTATTTGACATTGTTGGCAGCTTAAGTTTGACATACTTCTATCTTATCCAGTTTAGGTAAAAAACCTTAGTTGTTGGCATTGCCAATAATTCCGTAATAAATTTCCTAGTGGATCTTTGGCAAATGTTTCTTGGTGCATCTTGAATGATTGCCAGCATGGACTTGAATGCCTCGCCACAGCCAGAAGAAGATGAAGAAACTTTTGTACCACATTTTGAAGAAGATAATGCCCCAGAGGAACATATTGAACATATAGAGACTGGAGCTGATATTGCCCGTCGGGTACTTCAATCTTTATTGTTCAATGATTTGTATGCATCTTCTTTTGAAAGATTCATTTTCTTCTTGGACCCTTCTTTTATGCGCTTTAGGCGTTTACTGTTGAAGAAATGTTGAAGAAATCCCAACACATTTATTCTTGGTGGAGTAATGGAAAAAATGTCAATTTTTTTCCGATAGGAACGGAAACACTGTCATTTGCTCTTATGCTTTTGTTAGATATTGGACACGGACTTGTAATGCACATCCTCTCCAACTTATTTTTTCACCTTCCTTTTTTTTTTGGTTTTAATTTTTTATTAGTTGGACTTTCCACCATCAAAGTTTGAATTGATCTGCACTTTAATCTTCAATCTTTCAATTCCTAATGCTTTTGCAAGGGGGAGGGCTTGCACGCATTTGTCCTCGATCTTTCAATAGCTTTTGTTTGTTCATTCTGTTGATTTCAATCTCAATCTCAATCTCATACCGCTATGTATGATGTTTGCTCTCTCTCTCGCACACGCCCACGCCCACGCACAGAGATATATGAATACATGTGTATATGTTTTGTCATGAATTTGTGCAGATATAAGGAATACTCTTTTCTTTAATTTTTTTTGATCCTGAACTGAAAATCTTTATGCTTGGGTCCACTTGCTAGATTGTTGATTTATATACTTCTTGCATTAGGAGCGTGAGGAAAGACGTCAGCGTCTACGAAGAGGACGCGAGGATGGGAGACCAACTTTACATGATGGGATGTTCCAAACAAAAAAGCAAAGATCTCATGATAGACTTCCGCCAGGCAATTTTTGTTCTAATTGATATAATTGATTCTTTACAATTGAATGATACTTTGATTTTTCTACATCATGATATGATTATCATTATTATTGTCTTTTGGAACTACGATATTAGAACTATTAAATAGTGCTAGTAATTCAGTTATTATTTTTTATTTTTAGATTAGATGTCTCAGTGCTGAGTTTAATTGAGATTTTCGATGTCTCAGTGCTTATTTTAAGTGGTTCTCAAATTACTACGATATCAGAATTGTTAAATAGTGCTAGTAATTCAGTTAGTATTTTTGTTTTTAGATTAGATGTCTCAGTGCTTAGTTTAAGTGAGATTTTTGATGTCTCAGTGCTTAGTTTTAGTGGTTGTTAACTGTTCATCATACCGTCCGTCTATCCTCTATCTAAACTTTTTGATTGTTGTAGGTTGGTTGGATTGTCCTGCATTTGGTCAGGAAGTCGGTTGTATTATTCCTTCAAAAGTTCCACTTGATGAATCCTTCAATGACTATGTTGTCCCTGGTAAAAGATACTCGTTCAGGCAAGTGATTCATCAACAGAGAGTTTTAGGAAGAAAGGTGAGTATGTTGAACTCAAACTTTCTTCTTTCTTATTCTGAGTTTTGGAAATCTACAACACTTGCTCTTTTAAACTGTCATGTGTCAGTAATAATATGGGAATGAACTTCTATGTCTTGGTAATCAAGCTAGCAGCGTCTTGAAAATTGTCAGACTTGCACATTCGTGTAAATGCTGAAAACCTTTTATCAGTTCACTGGAAGAGCCATAAAAGAGTTAGCATGCGAAACATCTAATTCTAATGGAGGATACACCAATACTCTTATCTGGTATAAGAGTTTGGATCATCTAGTGCAAAAATGGAGCTTGATTTTGATGGCCAATACAGTAAAAGTTCTTTTCTTCTTCCTTTTGGTTGATATTTGATAGCCTACACCAGACAAGCCTATAAGTTTTAACAAAGGGTGTCCTCATCTGATGAGTTTTTATTGAATGTCATGAGAAAAACTATCCAACATGATTTGATTGTATAACTGAACATTTGGAATTTTGTCTAATGAATTTCCAGCTTGGCTTGGTGATCGATCTTACAAACACTACTCGTTACTATTCTATCGCAGATTGGAAGAAAGACGGTATAAAGCATGTTAAGGTGGGTAATTGATTACAAAATAAAAATCTTATTTGTCTGCACTCTCAGACTGCGATAATAGGGGTCTCGACCTCTAAAATATGCTTTTGTGATTCAGATTTGTTGCAGGGGGCGTGATTCTGTACCTGATAACGAGTCTGTAAATCAATTTGTTTATGAAGTAAGTTCTCCGTTGGCACGCCCACATTACTTTTGTGCTTTTTGTAGCATGTATGTTCTTTTGCATATTCTTAGAGAATCCTTTTGGACCCTTGTTAGTACTGCAGCATAATAGATCTAAATCCAACTGGATTTCATCTTACTGCATTGGTTGTATTCAGGTAAAATTACAGCTAAGTTTCTTCTGGGCAGTAGTTGTGTAGGGGGAAATAACATGTCAGTGTTACATGACATTGTACCTAAACGAGTCCTTAATGCACTAGTTCCTCATATTTGTCGTAGTTCATGGGTTGGACCACAATAGAATTCTTTCCTTCTGAGCCATTGAAGCATGTTAAGGAATAAAGGTTGAGCAATGCTCTTTTTACCCATTTGCATGTATGCACTATGTTGTTTTCTTGTGTATCTACTTAGTTCTTGTCCTATATTTATGACTGTTCTATTTGTTGATCCATAATCGAAGTGAAGCTTCTTTTTTCTTAGAAGCCTAGCCTTGAAGGTGGGCCTTGCTTAAGATAGTTAATAAATAATTGCATTTTCTCAGGTTTCACAATTTCTTGCCCGACAGAGACCGCCAAAAAAGTATATTCTTGTTCATTGCACCCATGGACATAACCGAACTGGCTATATGATTGTTCATTATCTTATGCGTACAACATCAATATCTGTCACTCAGGTCAGTTATTTTTCTATGTTTTTGGCTCATTCAGTCAAAGAATCCATATGCCTGGGGATTATATCTGGCTTGCCTGTGATGCAGGCAATAAAAATCTTTGCTGAAGCACGTCCGCCAGGGATATACAAACCGGATTATATTGATGCTTTGTACACCTTTTATCATGAAAAGAAGCCTGACGGAGACATTTGCCCTGCAATTCCGGACTGGAAAAGGTCATCTGAACTTGATCTGAATGGTGATGCAATTCCGGATGACGATGATGACGGAGGTTCTGCTGCTCCTGTGCATGTATGGTTTTCAAAAGAATTCTATTAGCATGTAGTTCTGAAATGTTTGCAGTCCTTTGCGGAAATTAAGCTACAGGGAAAGAAGGTTGAAGGATTCTTCAAGCCCTATTAGTGGGCAGAAGAATACACTATTAACAAAACAGACTGTCCATATACCTCTCTTGTCCAAGTCCACAAAGCTCTAGCAGTTATTGTGTAGGCTTCCTTTTACCTAGAAAGCAGACTGCTGCGCTGGGTCAGCAGATTTAAGAAGCCTTTTAATCTTTTTCTTCAAAGCTCCAGAAATATTCGAAATGTCTCATCAAGTGATCGTAGCTCCAGTATTCCTAGAATCTTGATCTCACCCGACCTAAATGCACTGGACAAGATCTCTAAGCTAATGAGCGCTTTTTATTGCTCTTTTCATCTATTATATTTCTAGTTGAAACCTAAGGTGTTCAACCATTTGATGCGTATCGACTGCTGATATTCCCTGACTGGTTCTTTGATTGGAATTTTGTTTTGTTTTCATTTTCTCTCTGAATCTGTTGGGTTGTAATTTAACGGCTTTCTGCTTGCTTGTACCCTCGATTGAGTAAATACTCTCTTGTATTTTCTCTTTGAGCAGCTTCTATAATGTATTTCACAGATAATCAGGGAAGCTTGGAGCCATCTGCTAGTGAAGCGATTTTCCTGAGAAACTGCTTGATAGGGACCATTTTCCTTTAGAATAAATTTGATGTTTTAAGAAATACCACATGTAATATTCGTATAAGCAAGTGAAACAATTAAGAACTACATTATCTATATAAAGGGGAAGAGTAAACCTTATAACATTGCTAAAAGCTAGCTATATTCCATTTTCCAAGTTTCAGGGAAGTTAAAGAGCAGCAATGTCATGAAAAATAAGTGTGGCTTAAAGTAGATGTCGAGATTTCTCTTTGTTTTGTTAATATTTTTCTGATGTCATACTAAGATGAAGTAGCAGCAAGAAAAAAGGGCATAATAGGAACGAGTACAACAGCAGGTGATAAACTGAGTTATTTTGCTGGGAAGGTAAAGTGTTTTTGATGCAGGAAGTAATGCAGTTCAGATTGAGAATCTGTAATGATAATTGAAGTTCATGAAAGACAAGTAGTTGCGATGAGAAATTCAATGTTGGCTCGTGGTTGAGTGAACTCTATGTCTCTATCCCCTATATTGACAAATTGGTGCTGATTGTCTCCCGTACATAGGATCAACAAAATAGGATACACCCTTGTAGCATGAGCTCTAGGACATGGTATACAAATATGAGAAGGTTAGAAATGTTGATAGTGTATGTGAGGATCCAATGGGTGGTGGACACTCTACTCATATCAAGTAGCGAAAATGCCAACTACTTGGTTTTTGACTATATTGACCTTTCTACTATATATGGTTGCCCTGTAAGCTATATTTTCAGTCAAGTCCAAGACTACTCTCTTTTTCATTATATTGTGACCCTCCTCTTGTCGGCTACTTGGACGAAAATACTAAACTTTAATCGAAATCTAGATTTAGGAAAATATTACTTTCACATTGGGACTCACTGTAAATCTATTTGCTACAGGGAGTTAGATCTCCAAATTAGGTCCAAGTAGTATTTCTCCTAAATTTAAACTCTAAGATTGCCACTAGTCTATGTCTGGTAATTCTTAAATTTGTCTAATTTATTAGTAAATAATCAACATGTTTTGTCGCTTACTATGTCTCTAATTTCTTCAGGAGAATCATGAGAAAGATGTAGTAATGACAAATGATGACATTTTGGGAGATGGTATCCCTCTGGATCAGCAAGATGTATTCCGGCAGTTCTGCTATCAGTCACTGAAGTTGGGTGTGGGGGTAGGAAGTTCAAAGGCTTCTCTTGACTGTTGCCATTTTCTGTTCCATCTAAAGGCACTTCAGATTTAAAAAAGTGATGTTCTTAATTATCTATTGGAATCAGATCTCGTAGTTTGACTTTGCCACTGCAGCCTCACTCATGTTGTGTTACCATTTTATTTATATCATCCTGGATTTAAGTTAGTAGGTTTTCTCCCCCAAGATATCACACTATAGTTTTGGCTTTTTTACTCGTTATTAGACTTGAAGTTCCCAAATTCTCATTATTCTATAAAATGTTTGTTGCCTAGTTGATGTGTTTATTTCTTATCATTCATAGTAGAATTATCTTTTGGTCTTCAGGCAAGAGGAAACTCTCAATTTCCTGGGTCACACCCGGTTTCTCTTAACAGGTTTAACTCACTTCATCTTTATTTTTATGGGAATTCTGTGGCTTGGTTCTGTTTTCAGTTAGGGCCTTAATTAGTGTAACCTCTTGTCTTCTTAAATCAAATTGATTTCTGTTTATTGAGTGTGTTTCTTCACTTTGTATTGATTGAAAAATATTGTCTGTTGGAGTAGGATAGTTTTTTGGTCATTGGTTTTCAAGCAATGCGTATACCTGTGCATGTAACGTTGAATAAATGATACAGATTTTTTTTGTGTACGACCTAATTGTTCTTGGTATTTCTAACCTTGAATGAGGGTGGGTGGTGGGCGTTGGTGTAGCAGTAAGGTTGCTTCATCGTGACTTGGGGGTGAAGAGTTCGAGTCACGGAAACTGCCTCTCTGTATCTGGTGTAATGTCTCATACACCTAATTTTTCCTAGACCCCACAATTGCGAGAGCCTCGTACTCTGGGCCACCTTTATTTCTAAGTAGGTGTTGTTGATGGTGCTTGCCATCTTTAGATAGGCTAGTAAGAGAAAAATGGTTACTCATGCACAATTTTTGATGGATGTTCAAATTCTTAGGTGCTTGTATGTAGAGGTGTTGAATTTGAACATTTGTGTATGTTCGATATTCTTTCTATGTAACTTTATAGAAATTCTANAGGGCAACTATCTGAAATTGTTTGTTATTGCCTTTTCAGTTATGTGGGATTTGTTGAGTGACTATTTTGCTTGAGTGATTAGAGCAAGTTGTTGTTTTGTACAATGTCGCAGCTTGAGTTCACACAAATTTACTGATACTGTATCTTATCCTTCTTAGGTATATATTTTATATTTGTTAGAGTTGGCAACATCAGCATCACCATAATAAATGGTCCAGAGAAAATATTGCATGCTGACTGTTAGGTTTTCCCTTGATTTTGATCCGAAAATCATGGGTTCTACTTAACTAAGTCTAGTACATAATGAGACTAAGGTTGGTTACCTTAGTCCTTTGTTTTCTTGGTGCAAGTACATAAGGAGACTATGCGATTAGTTGAGATGGGCTGAATTGGAGGATCAGCGCTTCATACGTACAAGAAATTATGAATTTTTTTATGTCAAGTCGTAATCATTGCACACAGGGTGACTATATCATTTTTCATTATGGCACTTGAGTAACTTGGGTTGTTTGTGTGAGAATGCTTATTCTTCTCTTTTTTTCCCTTTTTCCTTTTCCTTTTTTGGCATTCAATTATGATATACGCTTGTATTTGACATTGTTGGCAGCTTAAGTTTGACATACTTCTATCTTATCCAGTTTAGGTAAAAAACCTTAGTTGTTGGCATTGCCAATAATTCCGTAATAAATTTCCTAGTGGATCTTTGGCAAATGTTTCTTGGTGCATCTTGAATGATTGCCAGCATGGACTTGAATGCCTCGCCACAGCCAGAAGAAGATGAAGAAACTTTTGTACCACATTTTGAAGAAGATAATGCCCCAGAGGAACATATTGAACATATAGAGACTGGAGCTGATATTGCCCGTCGGGTACTTCAATCTTTATTGTTCAATGATTTGTATGCATCTTCTTTTGAAAGATTCATTTTCTTCTTGGACCCTTCTTTTATGCGCTTTAGGCGTTTACTGTTGAAGAAATGTTGAAGAAATCCCAACACATTTATTCTTGGTGGAGTAATGGAAAAAATGTCAATTTTTTTCCGATAGGAACGGAAACACTGTCATTTGCTCTTATGCTTTTGTTAGATATTGGACACGGACTTGTAATGCACATCCTCTCCAACTTATTTTTTCACCTTCCTTTTTTTTTTGGTTTTAATTTTTTATTAGTTGGACTTTCCACCATCAAAGTTTGAATTGATCTGCACTTTAATCTTCAATCTTTCAATTCCTAATGCTTTTGCAAGGGGGAGGGCTTGCACGCATTTGTCCTCGATCTTTCAATAGCTTTTGTTTGTTCATTCTGTTGATTTCAATCTCAATCTCAATCTCATACCGCTATGTATGATGTTTGCTCTCTCTCTCGCACACGCACACGCACAGAGATATATGAATACATGTGTATATGTTTTGTCATGAATTTGTGCAGATATAAGGAATACTCTTTTCTTTAATTTTTTTTGATCCTGAACTGAAAATCTTTATGCTTGGGTCCACTTGCTAGATTGTTGATTTATATACTTCTTGCATTAGGAGCGTGAGGAAAGACGTCAGCGTCTACGAAGAGGACGCGAGGATGGGAGACCAACTTTACATGATGGGATGTTCCAAACAAAAAAGCAAAGATCTCATGATAGACTTCCGCCAGGCAATTTTTGTTCTAATTGATATAATTGATTCTTTACAATTGAATGATACTTTGATTTTTCTACATCATGATATGATTATCATTATTATTGTCTTTTGGAACTACGATATTAGAACTATTAAATAGTGCTAGTAATTCAGTTATTATTTTTTATTTTTAGATTAGATGTCTCAGTGCTGAGTTTAATTGAGATTTTCGATGTCTCAGTGCTTATTTTAAGTGGTTCTCAAATTACTACGATATCAGAATTGTTAAATAGTGCTAGTAATTCAGTTAGTATTTTTGTTTTTAGATTAGATGTCTCAGTGCTTAGTTTAAGTGAGATTTTTGATGTCTCAGTGCTTAGTTTTAGTGGTTGTTAACTGTTCATCATACCGTCCGTCTATCCTCTATCTAAACTTTTTGATTGTTGTAGGTTGGTTGGATTGTCCTGCATTTGGTCAGGAAGTCGGTTGTATTATTCCTTCAAAAGTTCCACTTGATGAATCCTTCAATGACTATGTTGTCCCTGGTAAAAGATACTCGTTCAGGCAAGTGATTCATCAACAGAGAGTTTTAGGAAGAAAGGTGAGTATGTTGAACTCAAACTTTCTTCTTTCTTATTCTGAGTTTTGGAAATCTACAACACTTGCTCTTTTAAACTGTCATGTGTCAGTAATAATATGGGAATGAACTTCTATGTCTTGGTAATCAAGCTAGCAGCGTCTTGAAAATTGTCAGACTTGCACATTCGTGTAAATGCTGAAAACCTTTTATCAGTTCACTGGAAGAGCCATAAAAGAGTTAGCATGCGAAACATCTAATTCTAATGGAGGATACACCAATACTCTTATCTGGTATAAGAGTTTGGATCATCTAGTGCAAAAATGGAGCTTGATTTTGATGGCCAATACAGTAAAAGTTCTTTTCTTCTTCCTTTTGGTTGATATTTGATAGCCTACACCAGACAAGCCTATAAGTTTTAACAAAGGGTGTCCTCATCTGATGAGTTTTTATTGAATGTCATGAGAAAAACTATCCAACATGATTTGATTGTATAACTGAACATTTGGAATTTTGTCTAATGAATTTCCAGCTTGGCTTGGTGATCGATCTTACAAACACTACTCGTTACTATTCTATCGCAGATTGGAAGAAAGACGGTATAAAGCATGTTAAGGTGGGTAATTGATTACAAAATAAAAATCTTATTTGTCTGCACTCTCAGACTGCGATAATAGGGGTCTCGACCTCTAAAATATGCTTTTGTGATTCAGATTTGTTGCAGGGGGCGTGATTCTGTACCTGATAACGAGTCTGTAAATCAATTTGTTTATGAAGTAAGTTCTCCGTTGGCACGCCCACATTACTTTTGTGCTTTTTGTAGCATGTATGTTCTTTTGCATATTCTTAGAGAATCCTTTTGGACCCTTGTTAGTACTGCAGCATAATAGATCTAAATCCAACTGGATTTCATCTTACTGCATTGGTTGTATTCAGGTAAAATTACAGCTAAGTTTCTTCTGGGCAGTAGTTGTGTAGGGGGAAATAACATGTCAGTGTTACATGACATTGTACCTAAACGAGTCCTTAATGCACTAGTTCCTCATATTTGTCGTAGTTCATGGGTTGGACCACAATAGAATTCTTTCCTTCTGAGCCATTGAAGCATGTTAAGGAATAAAGGTTGAGCAATGCTCTTTTTACCCATTTGCATGTATGCACTATGTTGTTTTCTTGTGTATCTACTTAGTTCTTGTCCTATATTTATGACTGTTCTATTTGTTGATCCATAATCGAAGTGAAGCTTCTTTTTTCTTAGAAGCCTAGCCTTGAAGGTGGGCCTTGCTTAAGATAGTTAATAAATAATTGCATTTTCTCAGGTTTCACAATTTCTTGCCCGACAGAGACCGCCAAAAAAGTATATTCTTGTTCATTGCACCCATGGACATAACCGAACTGGCTATATGATTGTTCATTATCTTATGCGTACAACATCAATATCTGTCACTCAGGTCAGTTATTTTTCTATGTTTTTGGCTCATTCAGTCAAAGAATCCATATGCCTGGGGATTATATCTGGCTTGCCTGTGATGCAGGCAATAAAAATCTTTGCTGAAGCACGTCCGCCAGGGATATACAAACCGGATTATATTGATGCTTTGTACACCTTTTATCATGAAAAGAAGCCTGACGGAGACATTTGCCCTGCAATTCCGGACTGGAAAAGGTCATCTGAACTTGATCTGAATGGTGATGCAATTCCGGATGACGATGATGACGGAGGTTCTGCTGCTCCTGTGCATGTATGGTTTTCAAAAGAATTCTATTAGCATGTAGTTCTGAAATGTTTGCAGTCCTTTGCGGAAATTAAGCTACAGGGAAAGAAGGTTGAAGGATTCTTCAAGCCCTATTAGTGGGCAGAAGAATACACTATTAACAAAACAGACTGTCCATATACCTCTCTTGTCCAAGTCCACAAAGCTCTAGCAGTTATTGTGTAGGCTTCCTTTTACCTAGAAAGCAGACTGCTGCGCTGGGTCAGCAGATTTAAGAAGCCTTTTAATCTTTTTCTTCAAAGCTCCAGAAATATTCGAAATGTCTCATCAAGTGATCGTAGCTCCAGTATTCCTAGAATCTTGATCTCACCCGACCTAAATGCACTGGACAAGATCTCTAAGCTAATGAGCGCTTTTTATTGCTCTTTTCATCTATTATATTTCTAGTTGAAACCTAAGGTGTTCAACCATTTGATGCGTATTGACTGCTGATATTCCCTGACTGGTTCTTTGATTGGAATTTTGTTTTGTTTTCATTTTCTCTCTGAATCTGTTGGGTTGTAATTTAACGGCTTTCTGCTTGCTTGTACCCTCGATTGAGTAAATACTCTCTTGTATTTTCTCTTTGAGCAGCTTCTATAATGTATTTCACAGATAATCAGGGAAGCTTGGAGCCATCTGCTAGTGAAGCGATTTTCCTGAGAAACTGCTTGATAGGGACCATTTTCCTTTAGAATAAATTTGATGTTTTAAGAAATACCACATGTAATATTCGTATAAGCAAGTGAAACAATTAAGAACTACATTATCTATATAAAGGGGAAGAGTAAACCTTATAACATTGCTAAAAGCTAGCTATATTCCATTTTCCAAGTTTCAGGGAAGTTAAAGAGCAGCAATGTCATGAAAAATAAGTGTGGCTTAAAGTAGATGTCGAGATTTCTCTTTGTTTTGTTAATATTTTTCTGATGTCATACTAAGATGAAGTAGCAGCAAGAAAAAAGGGCATAATAGGAACGAGTACAACAGCAGGTGATAAACTGAGTTATTTTGCTGGGAAGGTAAAGTGTTTTTGATGCAGGAAGTAATGCAGTTCAGATTGAGAATCTGTAATGATAATTGAAGTTCATGAAAGACAAGTAGTTGCGATGAGAAATTCAATGTTGGCTCGTGGTTGAGTGAACTCTATGTCTCTATCCCCTATATTGACAAATTGGTGCTGATTGTCTCCCGTACATAGGATCAACAAAATAGGATACACCCTTGTAGCATGAGCTCTAGGACATGGTATACAAATATGAGAAGGTTAGAAATGTTGATAGTGTATGTGAGGATCCAATGGGTGGTGGACACTCTACTCATATCAAGTAGCGAAAATGCCAACTACTTGGTTTTTGACTATATTGACCTTTCTACTATATATGGTTGCCCTGTAAGCTATATTTTCAGTCAAGTCCAAGACTACTCTCTTTTTCATTATATTGTGACCCTCCTCTTGTCGGCTACTTGGACCAAAATACTAAACTTTAATCGAAATCTAGATTTAGGAAAATATTACTTTCACATTGGGACTCACTGTAAATCTATTTGCTACAGGGAGTTAGATCTCCAAATTAGGTCCAAGTAGTATTTCTCCTAAATTTAAACTCTAAGATTGCCACTAGTCTATGTCTGGTAATTCTTAAATTTGTCTAATTTATTAGTAAATAATCAACATGTTTTTTCGCTTACTATGTCTCTAATTTCTTCAGGAGAATCATGAGAAAGATGTAGTAATGACAAATGATGACATTTTGGGAGATGGTATCCCTCTGGATCAGCAAGATGTATTCCGGCAGTTCTGCTATCAGTCACTGAAGTTGGGTGTGGGGGTAGGAAGTTCAAAGGCTTCTCTTGACTGTTGCCATTTTCTGTTCCATCTAAAGGCACTTCAGATTTAAAAAAGTGATGTTCTTAATTATCTATTGGAATCAGATCTCGTAGTTTGACTTTGCCACTGCAGCCTCACTCATGTTGTGTTACCATTTTATTTATATCATCCTGGATTTAAGTTAGTAGGTTTTCTCCCCCAAGATATCACACTATAGTTTTGGCTTTTTTACTCGTTATTAGACTTGAAGTTCCCAAATTCTCATTATTCTATAAAATGTTTGTTGCCTAGTTGATGTGTTTATTTCTTATCATTCATAGTAGAATTATCTTTTGGTCTTCAGGCAAGAGGAAACTCTCAATTTCCTGGGTCACACCCGGTTTCTCTTAACAGGTTTAACTCACTTCATCTTTATTTTTATGGGAATTCTGTGGCTTGGTTCTGTTTTCAGTTAGGGCCTTAATTAGTGTAACCTCTTGTCTTCTTAAATCAAATTGATTTCTGTTCATTGAGTGTGTTTCTTCACTTTGTATTGATTGAAAAATATTGTCTGTTGGAGTAGGATAGTTTTTTGGTCATTGGTTTTCAAGCAATGCGTATACCTGTGCATGTAACGTTGAATAAATGATACAGATTTTTTTTGTGTACGACCTAATTGTTCTTGGTATTTCTAACCTTGAATGAGGGTGGGTGGTGGGCGTTGGTGTAGCAGTAAGGTTGCTTCATCGTGACTTGGGGGTGAAGAGTTCGAGTCACGGAAACTGCCTCTCTGTATCTGGTGTAATGTCTCATACACCTAATTTTTCCTAGACCCCACAATTGCGAGAGCCTCGTACTCTGGGCCACCTTTATTTCTAAGTAGGTGTTGTTGATGGTGCTTGCCATCTTTAGATAGGCTAGTAAGAGAAAAATGGTTACTCATGCACAATTTTTGATGGATGTTCAAATTCTTAGGTGTTTGTATGTAGAGGTGTTGAATTTGAACATTTGTGTATGTTCGATATTCTTTCTATGTAACTTTATAGAAATTCTAGTATTGCGGAGTTTTAGGGTGGTTTGACACCATAAATTTTGCTGGGTAATTGATTGTTGCACATGGGTACTGGGTATGAGTGTAGTCATTTGTGGCCACTATTGTTGTTCTTGCAATATTGTGGATTCTGTTTTTTCCGTGCGTATATGGCATGTGTCCGGTGTTATATGGGTTTTGTGGATAAAAAAAATGTTGCATAGTGGGTTTCCAATTTTTTTTTCATGTTTACTTCCCATAATTGAAAATTTTGCTTACTGTGTGTGTAAATGCATTAACATCTAATGGACTACCTAGTCTGGTAAATGTGATCTTGTGGCATGAATGAAATGCACATTGGGAAGTAGAAAAAGGTCACTTCATTGTTCATAAATCTAAATATAAATGAATGTTTGAATTGCATGCACGAAGATCATTGAAGAAATGCGCAGTTTCAGTTTAAAGTTGTTTATATTTATGACCTAAGGTTGTTTATATTGGGCATATCTTGGAGATTCATGAACTAAGAATATCTATGCCTGCATGTTAAAGTGTAGATGATAACTTGGTAAATACTAGTTTGCTTGTGCCTGGTTGCAACAAGTTTCCAGGCCCAGTGGGGGGACAGGGTGGGTGATTTTATAGCCGTAAAAATTAGCTTGAGTTACTGCATGAATTTCGGCTTGTGTGATGTGGCCTTTGACTGGTTCTAATGAGAGGAAAAGTTTGAGATATTTGTTAAGGCCATTGCTGAGTGCATTAGTAAAATGCTTGGGTGACAACTAGGAGGTTTGTGGGTTTGAATGCGAATGGTAAGCCCAGGCTAACAAGGGCAGCCACTTTCTACGAATACTGCTAGATACTAGATTAGTATCATGTACACTCACAATTCTGCGGATATGGAAACTAATTTGGGTCACGACTTTTTTAGATGATTTTGAAGTAGATCCAAGGTGTTTAAAATCGGGACCCTATCTTGGATCGATGGGGACGCTAGAGGATTGGGATCGTAAGATCGAATTGGGAATCGTAAGATCTTGTGAAATGAAAAATGAGACTAAAAATATAGGTAACAATATAGAATTCTTAAAAATTAAACAAGCCTAGTATTTATGCACATATAAATATTCTGACAAACATAAAAAGTTTAATGAGAATTGATTAAAATTTGAGAAACTACAATCTGTGAAGTGAAGAGGGTTGAAAATCAAAGGCACTCGGTTTATTTTGTAGAGATTTTGCGTAGAGAAATAGGAAACTCGAAGAATTTTGGTCTTAATTTTTGCAGAGAGACAAATATAGAGGAGAGACAAGAAAGTTGAAAAGGAGAGACAAGAAAATTGAAAGATTGTTGAATAAACAACTTGGGCTGTTTGACAACCAAATAAAAGGAAAAGTGGAAGAGAATAAAAATGGAAGACTATCTGGGTATGATCACTCAACCTCAAGTGGAGATCAAACTTAACAATTATTTTCATCTTTTCAGTGAGAGACGAATAAATGAAGAGAACTCTTTGTAACTTTTCTCATCCGTCGAAATTTCCTTCACAATTATATCGGACAATCACATTCGGATTGAAACAATAAATATGAATTGAGTTAGCTCAATAACTTGCGCCTAACAAGCAAACCAACAATTTGGATCAGTGTAATCACAATTCAGATTGAGATCTTATAAGCATAGTTGTTAAATCGTGTTTCGTATCGTGAATCGGAATCCTAAATTTGAGAATTGTGAATCGTAAGATTCGACACAAAATTTGAACCAAAAAAAAAAGTAATACTACATATTTAAAATAGAAAAAATATAGAATATTTAACATTATTGCATTTTAAAAATAATCAATTGACATAATTACGTCGTCTAAATGGAAAGACGTTAGCCTTTTACTTCATTTTCATATTTTGTTTAACCATTTTCAAATTCAACAACTTNTTATTGCATTTTAAAAATAATCAATTGACATAATTACGTCGTCTAAATGGAAAGACGGTAACCTTTTACTTCATTTTCATATTTTGTTTAACCATTTTCAAATTCAACAACTTAAAAAAAAAATTCATTAAAGAACTATGATTATTCAAGAACTAAAATAGTGACATCCAGTATAAATTAAGTTACAAACATGAATAGAAAAAGAACAAATAAAAAAATTGATTAAGAGAAAATATACATGCCAATATTTTGAAATAAAAAATTAGAACCTAACAAACTACCTACGAAAGAATTAATGATATGAGAGCGTTAGCTGTGACCTTTAGCTTTAGACAACGCAAGGAGAACTTTAGACGACGTCAGAGAGAGAACGAGCAAAAAGGTTGAGTTTTTATTAGTGCGTGAGTTCCGCTACAAATAAAACGAGGTCGTTTTACTGTTTAGCAGACAATACGGTGTCGTTTTGTAAAAAAATTGAGTTTTAAAAAAAGTGATTGAATCGTGCAATTCATGCGATACGAATCGAATTGTATGATTTTGGTGCGATTCAATTCTAAAACGATTTTCATATAAGATACGAATCGTTTTATACTTGTATTGAATCAAATCGCGAATCGTACGACTTTGATAACTATGCTTATAAGATCTGGCCGTGATTCAATTCGTATGATTCGATTTCATTTTATCCCTAGTCGATTCGTATCCTATTATGAATCTTTTTAGCCAAGAGTTGAACGAGTCACACGATTCATTTTATTAGTTTTTTAAACCTTATTTTTAGTAAATTGACGTTGTTTTAGTGAAAGAGGTCCACTCCAAATATAAAATTTGCGCCTCTCTCTGTATCTCTTGTTTGTGTCTTTACCTCTCAAGCGACTGTGAACGTCACATAGAAACGATGTCTTCTTCACTCCATGTATGTTGCTTCTTCTTTTTCGTCTTCAAAAACAGCCACCAAACACCCCCAACTTTTTTTTCTTCTTCAATAAATGTTTTGTTTTTTGTTTTTCATCAAAAAATTATTTTTCAATCGAATGTGGGAATTGATTTTCTTAGTTTACATATTCGAATCAGGATGAGCTGTTCCTATTTTAGTTTAACTTCATTGATAGGAAGACAATAGCTATTTGTTGATATGACCATTTAAAGGGAACGATTGATTATGCAATAAAAAAGAAGTGATAGAGGTGATCAAGTCAAGTGTAGCTTTATACAGACTGAATTATTGGATCGGATATCCAATTTTTAACGGATATGGATTGGAATTTTGATATTCGTCAGATTATTAGATTGGATTCGAAATTGGATTTTTTAGTTGGATTAACCAAAATCCANATAAAAAAGAAGTGATAGAGGTGATCAAGTCAAGTGTAGCTTTATACAGACTGAATTATTGGATCGGATATCCGATTTTTAACGGATATGGATTGGAATTTTGATATTCGGCAGATTATTAGATTGGATTCGAAATTGGATTTTTTAGTTGGATTAACCAAAATCCAATCCAAATTCGGTCCGTTGACAGGCCTACTATTGGCTGGTTTAAAGTTCACTACTTTATCTGCAAGTGGAACAGCTGGAATACAATGTCACCATGTATTTTGCTTCTTATATATTACACATTTACTGCAAGAAGTATCTGCAGCTGAATTATCCACAAAAATGGAGAACTTCAAACACAAAAGCTGTTCAATTAGATAAGGGCCACTGCTTCAACCGTCCCATATTTAGGTAGAATAAAGTATTGTCTGGATTAGGTCTCCCCATGCCACCACCTAGAAGTCTCTGCCGCAGCATGAATCTAATGCCATATTAATGATATGACATCTGTTCTGCACACTGAGGCAGTGCTTATTCTTAGTTGCTTCAAGTAACTCAGACTTCGGCGTAACTAAGTTTCAGATTCTTCTTAAAAACTTACTATAGCTCGGGAAAATTGTCCTGGGAAGAGGAACAGGACATGGAAAGCCAAAATAGAGATCAGCCGCCCACCCGCCCCTCTTGGCCAGTTTCTGCATGCCATCCTCTAAAAAAGCTCATCCTGAGTTTCTAGCATATGTTATCACCTACCAGAATCATCCTTTCTGTAAAGTCTTGGCTAATGGATTATACTTTCTTTATTAACGTCATGAAGTTTTGTGTGTTTTTATTAACCAGGCAATTGGTATCATGACTGTTATGTGTGATCTTTATCCTATATTGTTGTTTCTTTCCATAAACTGTGAGCATACACTAATCTGTGTGACATGCAGGGACAATCTACAACTGCTAAGGCAGCGATACTATTACGCCACGTGGAAAGCTGATGGTACACGATATATGATGCTAATTACTATGGATGGGTGCTACTTGATCGATAGGCATTTCACTTTCCGAAGGGTCCAGATGAGGTTTCCTTGCAGACACACTAGTGAAGTATGCATGCATGTGGTCATGCTGTCAGAATACCTTTTTCTGTCCCATTGCCTTACAAATAGATTCTGTTGATTAGTGCCAATCTAACATAATGATGATTTTTTTAAGGGCTTAGCTGAGAAGACTCACCACTTTACGCTTCTTGATGGGGAGATGATAATTGATACCCTTCCAGAATCGCAGAAGCAAGAAAGAAGATACCTTATATATGATCTGATTGTAATTAATCAAGTCTCTATCATAGAGGTAAGTAGTGAAAAGAAATGCAAGATACTTGATGCTAGCAATCACTGAACTTGTGCCTGTGATCATGTGCCATACTCATGCATTATTGTGCCCTTAATTTGTCAACACTTGCCATCATCCCATGCCATAGGCATAAAATGTCAAGTGCTGAACCAGTGCTAGGAATCGTTGGGACAAAAATTGTATCTTGTTATATACAATCTGTTTTTTTGGGAGGGAGAAAAGATATTTTAAGAATGCATTGACTTCTACAGTATGTCCATCCTCTAACATTTTCTGCATTCTCTAGCAATTTCCTGACCATGTGTCAAGCCATGCTCCTGGCTGTAGTTGTTGGTGCATCTTCAAATCATAGTAGTGGATGGACATAAACCCTGCTATTTATTTGTCATGAATCTTGTACTTGCATGCCTTTATTGTTGCATTCTTTGATCAGATGAAGTTGATTCCAAGCAGGAATCTTGGAATCGACTAGTATTAGTAGTATCAGTATGATAGGAATTGTCATATTATCTGCATGGGCTTGCTATTTGACAGTGCAGACTTGTCATTTAGCATGCATGGTTATTCTTTCTTCTTTGTGTCATTTTGCATGCATGGAAAACATATATGAACTAACAGTGAAAGTGTTTGCTCAAGAAGAGTCGAGGTCAGAGTCGTCAGACTCAGAAATGTGTAGTTTACTCACTGCAATACTGAGTGAATCCATCCTGTCATGGTGAGTCTCGGTATCATTGTTTGCCTGTCCAATCATCTTTGGAAGTTTAGTACATGAGATAATAACCTACCCTCTGGCCTTATTATTTTCATGGCAACATAGTTGTCGAATTCCGTAAATATTGAGAACATAGTTGAAAGAGTAGTAGATTCTGCTGATAATAAACTAAGTGTGCTTAGATTAATCAGGCAGGAGCCAGGCATTGAATAGGCCCGAACAAATATAGGTTTCGTTTTGATATCAGGTTTCTTATTTTAAGGAAGTTAAGGGGTTCAGCTTTGTCAACCAGCATTTGCAAGCAGAAGCCACGTAAACTGTCAAATGTTAAGCTTCTCATACACACTTAGAAGCCAAAATGGACACGCCTTTGATTATATTCTGAGTTGCTTGAGGACATTTGTTGGACTTCACTTGACACATTAGAAAGGAGTGTCCTTTTTGGGTTGAGGACATTTGCTGGATGGGTGAACTTGGTGCTGCACAGGCTGGTCCAAAACAAGTGTCATACATGCCGTTAAGGCCACCATCAGGTTCATAGGAGTAAGAACTTTTTGCACCATTGGACATGTTGCCAGGCATCGTTATTGGATAATGGCACATTTTTTCCCTTAGACATTCTTGTGAAAAAGTTTTTGTTGAGGTAGATTGCCATAAGAACTCGCTGCAAGATACAGAAGCCAAAGTCCCCACACTCACCTCTTGTTTCGCTCCCTTTTTATATGCTTACACAGACATATATCATGCCACAGATACTAAAAATGGGTTCCGGCTCCTCACCATTTCTAGTAGAACTGGAAGATTTTCCATTCCTTCACATTAATGAGACATGTGTCTCATGTGTAATCCAAAGGCTGAGATTTAAGCACATCTCAAATTGTCATTTCTATTCACACACGACACATTGTGTAATAACAAACGAATGGAGATTCCATCAATTATCAATATACGCTTATTATGTCAACTATATTTGGTCAACTATCAAAAGTCACATATGCAATTGTTTCTTCAACTATCACATATATAAGTGTGTTGGGTAGTTTGTATTTAAGGGTGACAATTTTTGATACGATACAAAATTAGCGAGTTATGATTGTCTAGTTTTCAATACGAACTCAAAAATAACAAAATCTGCCTACACAAGTAATAAACATGTTAGGTGAGTGTCAGCTTGAATATCCTGATAAGGGCACATATGCACGTTTACCCGGTAGTTTATGAATAAAATGTATGATTTTTTTCTTTTTTCGATTTGATGCTAACATAAATCTTATAAAATCAATCGATTTTTTTTAGTTATTTTGCTATTATATAAATGTATTAAAATTCTAATTCATGAAAAACTATGATTGGTGGTTTTAGTGGAGAAAAATTGGCTTTGAGCCTTGGATTTTTTAGTCATGGATTATATGAATTAAGCCGAACGCGACACGATAATAAAGAGGTTGAGTTAATCTCAAGAAATTGAATTTGTTAGAATCCGAAATTATACAATTTGAAAACAACTCAAACATGTTTGTTGAAACAACATCGGCAAAAATTATTGTTTGCTTAAAAATTTGAAAGGAAAAGATTGGTGGGATGTTCCGTTAGTTTGTTGAACACAAGTCCCCGTGTATGGAAAATAATAGCAGATAGGTATGTGCTTAAATTTCAGCATTTGGATTACACATGAGACACATGTCTCATTAATGTGAAGAAATGGAGAGGAGCAGTGGCCCTAAAAATGTATGTGGTTGTCCTTGGCAATACCACCAAACTTACTGACATTGGTCTCTGCCTTTTTCGCAGTGATTAGAACTTTACCATTTTGATTTGTGTCAATTCATAGACTAATGAATGTGGTAGTTGTATATGATTCTCGAAAAATTCTTAAAGTACGCTCTTGTTTCAGATTTTTTAAGGTGAGTCAAAAAGGAGTCATCGATTCATTTCAACACGTCGTACAAGAGTTGAAGTGGTGAGTTGGGATCTAACGGGGGATAAAGGTAGATAGTCGGTTTGCTTTTCTAGCAATGATAAATTGTTACATAATGTTGGAAATCTAGTAATGTTGTGGATGTTAGTTTTTGATCTTGGGTACCAGAGAATAGAATAGGAAGGAAGAGGAAAAAATGAGAAAAACATCAAAGTTGGTCTTTTGTAAACCAATTTATATTTTAGAATTAGCAGCCAAGGTTGGGTGCTTGTGGTCTGGTTCCGATTCTCAAGAATGGGCATTGAAGATGACAATGGTGCCTGTGCATGCATGTGAGAGAGAGAGTTGGTTGATAAGTTTCTCGTACTGCAAATTAGATGGCGAGAGAGAGACATTCAGAAAGTTTGAAACTCACAAGCTGATGTGGCATCTGACAACATTTGTTTGTTCAGAAGTTTGTGTAACTTCTTAGTGCGGATAGCATTTTCGCAAAATAAAAAGTTCAAAAAGAAAAGAACTCATGCAAAGATATTCAACTCCTAATTTTTGTGACATCTCTTATTGTGATACTAAGCATGTTTGTTAGGGAGCCCTTAAGGAAAGTTGGAGATTCTATTCCTTTTAATTGAAGTTCTTGTTTCAATTTAGAAAATATATAAGCTAAGATCTGTCATGGTTTTTGGGAAGAGTTTGAATAGAGGAAGTTGTAGAAGGGTATATTTGCAAATTTGGTAATTGATGTGTCTATGTTGTCTCTTTATCCATCCAATGATATCAAAAGGGAAATCATGGTAAATTTACTTGTAAGCTTTATATTTCCATTCCAATAGGTGTTTCGGGATTTTATTCTATTTTGAACTTCAGTTGGTGAAACAATTATTCAGAGATTGAACTAAAACATACTTTTTTGATCATTTAGACCAACCTTAGATTTTTTTAATCATTTTAAAGTGAAGAGATTATCAAATATCATGTAGAATGCTACAACTTTGGAATTGATTATACAAGTGCAGGTTGTCGCGAAGTAATATAATATTCGGAAGTTTGATGTCTAACTAGGGAATTGTAAAAAACTTAAAAACACAAGAAAAATAAATGAAAAATTGTTGTAGAGATTTTGAAGTAAGAAAATAGTAAATTTGGTTTTAAAACCATAATTGAACATACTACAGCATCAAGGATACTCGAACTCAATTAAGAATCAGTTGAGTAGTGATTCCAGTCAGAATATTTAGCGATGATAATATTGAAAACATCAAAAGTATAATTAGTAAATTATCTAAATAAATAAGAATTTACTTGTAGATCACAAGTATTCACTAGGACCAGAATCAACTATTTTATGAAAATTTTAATTAATTAATTCTAGTATGGAATAACCAATTAATTGACTCACAAGGAATCTCAAGCGTTCGATGTACGTGGCACAACGAATTAAAAAATTATATAGAATAAAAATTTTAATAAAAGACAAGAATTAAATCAAAGAATAAATCATGCATTAAAAACATTGGATCGAGAATAAATACCGTGTTTCATGGAAAGTATCTCCCTTACCTTTAGTTGGGGATTTAGGAGGCCATAATAAAATACACCAAAAACAAGAAAAGTAAAGACCGGAAAAAGAATAATGCTCTCTGAATAGGTGAGAGCCATTATTTATACTCAAATAAAGCTTGAGTATAGGTAGAAGATCTTGGGTTTTTAAGTCAAATATTATGAAATATACTTTTGCAGCCCTTGAAGTCTTATTTTTAACGCCGTAAAAATCAGGTCAATTGAATATCGTAGTAAAAANCTCTCTGAATAGGTGAGAGCCATTATTTATACTCAAATAAAGCTTGAGTATAGGTAGCAGATCTTGGGTTTTTAAGTCAAATATTATGAAATATACTTTTGCAGCCCTTGAAGTCTTATTTCTAACGCCGTAAAAATCAGGTCAATTGAATATCGTAGTAAAAAGTTATGACCAAAATACTGAAGAGGTGTCAAAACCTTATCTTCTAGAATACTTTCTAATCCAACTTTCAACTTTCAACGAGTTTTTTACTAAATTGGACTTTCATAAAGATTAAATTGTTGCCTTTATCTTCAAATCTCCATATCTTAATCTTGATTCTTCAATCCTTATCAATTGTGATTCTTCNCTTTCAACTTTCAACGAGTTTTTTACTAAATTGGACTTTCATAAAGATTAAATTGTTCCCTTTATCTTCAAATCTCCATATCTTAATCTTGATTCTTCAATCCTTATCAATTGTGATTCTTCCTCTAGTGTTTTTTTCACTTGTCTTATTCATTATTAATTTAAATCAATTAAATTACCCGCAAAATAAATCAAATAACTATAAAAAATATCAAATAATAAAATAACACTTTTTATGGTTAATCACAGAACATTGATGATAACCTGATATTGAGGTCAGCACAATCATTTTGCTTTGAAATTGGCACCCTGAAAGTGATTGAGAAAACTCTACAGATAATTTATCTGCTTCAACTGTTTGATCATTTTGTTTGCTGCCATAACCAATATGATTTCCTAGTTTTGAATATCTTTTGGAAATTTGGAATCATCAAATTAAAATGGTGCAACTGTTACTTTGTCCATAACTTGGTTTCTTCCACATTAGAAGTTGAATGTTTGAGTTTCTTAGTTGATTTATCCTGGATGTCTCGTCCACTAATGTTAAGGTTTGATTTAAATCTGTAGCGGCCCTTCTATGAACGGTGGAAAATGCTTGAGAAAGAAGTGANTAAAATACACCAAAAACAAGAAAAGTAAAGACCGGAAAAAGAATAATGCTCTCTGAATAGGTGAGAGCCATTATTTATACTCAAATAAAGCTTGAGTATAGGTAGCAGATCTTGGGTTTTTAAGTCAAATATTATGAAATATACTTTTGCAGCCCTTGAAGTCTTATTTCTAACGCCGTAAAAATCAGGTCAATTGAATATCGTAGTAAAATGTTATGACCAAAATACTGAAGAGGTGTCAAAACCTTATCTTCTAGAATACTTTCTAATCCAACTTTCAACTTTCAACGAGTTTTTTACTAAATTGGACTTTCATAAAGATTAAATTGTTGCCTTTATCTTCAAATCTCCATATCTTAATCTTGATTCTTCAATCCTTATCAATTGTGATTCTTCCTCTAGTGTTTTTTTCACTTGTCTTATTCATTATTAATTTAAATCAATTAAATTACCCGCAAAATAAATCAAATAACTATAAAAAATATCAAATAATAAAATAACACTTTTTATGGTTAATCACAGAACATTGATGATAACCTGATATTGAGGTCAGCACAATCATTTTGCTTTGAAATTGGCACCCTGAAAGTGATTGAGAAAACTCTACAGATAATTTATCTGCTTCAACTGTTTGATCATTTTGTTTGCTGCCATAGCCAATATGATTTCCTAGTTTTGAATATCTTTTGGAAATTTGGAATCATCAAATTAAAATGGTGCAACTGTTACTTTGTCCGTAACTTGGTTTCTTCCACATTAGAAGTTGAATGTTTGAGTTTCTTAGTTGATTTATCCTGGATGTCTCATCTGNAAGGAAATAGGGTGATATTCCCTGGTGAGTGAATTTCATCTTTTATATCTTACTTTCACCTCAACAATAAAGTCCACTTTTCTACATTATAATAACGGTTGAAAAGTCTTGAATTTGACCTATAAAGTTACAAATGCTCTCAAAAATGATCTGAAATTTCTGCAAGGAGCTTTGTTCAAGGCTATAGATGNACTAATGTTAAGGTTTGATTTAAATCTGTAGCGGCCCTTCTATGAACGGTGGAAAATGCTTGAGAAAGAAGTGATTGAACCTCGGAACTTTGAACGTCAGAATATATTCCAGAGTAGAAATTCTTTTTACAGATACGATTTGGAACCATTCAGAGTAAGTGTTAATAAGTAGATGATTGACCAACATTGTGTTAGCTTTCCAAACTTTTGTTTTTTCCCCTCATGATGGAACTGCTCACTGATTTGCATTTGTCAGGTGAGGAGGAAGGATTTTTGGTTGCTGTCTACTGTTACCAAACTTTTGAGGGAATTCATTCCCAGGCTTTCACATGCTGCAGATGGTCTTATTTTTCAGGTGCTGAAGATTCTAATTTTAGTGTTCTTCATGGCCTATTTACTATTTAGTTGCCTACATTTATTTGTTGCAGTGCGAACATGATTTTGAATTTATAAAATCTGTTTTTAGTGCTACTAACGATGGAAGACCAATTGCAAATTGCTTAGTTTGTTTTTAAGTCTATAATATTAATTCAAAGAGAGGAGGGAGTCTAGTGTTTACTCCTAAAATGTCTATAATACCCTTTATTTCTTCCAAAATAGCTAGCCATAGCTCCCTCTTTAATTCCACTCAATGTCTCCACCAGGAACATGCTACCCTTCATTTCCTCCCAGATAACAACTCAACTCCCTTTTTAACCCTATTCAAATTCCTAATTCTCTCTTCACACGACTGACCTTGTGTGTACAGCTTCTAGTTTATAGAATCTGTCGCTACTCGCTAGTACTACTAATCATGATTGATAACGTATGAATTCAAAGTGCTTAGCTTGTTTCTAATTTTGTGTGTTCTGATGGTTTTGACATATTGTCATGCTGACATATTTAATTCCTATGAATCTCTCTTCAAGTTACACTCTACATTGTGTTTTATAATGGTATTCTAAATTAGTATAGTTCTTAGTTTGTAAATCTTTATGATACTGGTTACTTATGATCTCCAGGGTTGGGATGATCCTTATATTCCTCGAACGCATGAAGGTCTCTTGAAGTGGAAATATCCGGAGATGAACTCGGTTGATTTTCTGTTTGAGGTTGATACTACAAATATTATAGTTGTTTTAGATATTGTTTGGGCAGCATTTTCCTACCCCCTTCTACCAGTCTCAGATTTCAATAAAATTTTCCTACCTGGTTGACAGATAAATGATAATCGACAGCAACTTTTTCTCTATGAAAGAGGGAAGAAGAAGCTGATGGAAGGAAATAGGGTGATATTCCCTGGTGAGTGAATTTCATCTTTTATATCTTACTTTCGCCTCAACAATAAAGTCCACTTTTCTACATTATAATAACGGTTGAAAAGTCTTGAATTTGACCTATAAAGTTACAAACGCTCTCAAAAATGATCTGAAATTTCTGCAAGGAGCTTTGTTCAAGGCTATAGATGCATACGCATGTTGATTCTCCCATTTAGAAAGAGGCAAATAGGTTCTAGTCAGTGTTATTGAGACACAAGGCGCACTGAGGCTCCACGGTGTCTTGGGGTTTAGGCACGAGGCATGGGATTTGTTGAAGCGACAGACGTGCTGTAGATAGCCAACAAATATTTTAAAACCGAAAATTGCTACATTAGAAGTCACTTTTGATTCGGTTAAACAATTTGGAATAAACACTTAGACAATTTAATAGATTAATCAATTAAATAAGTTAATAGACAATTATACAGTTACACAACAACAATATTAAACTTTAAAGCAACATTGTGCTTGATTTTAATGGAAAATGTATAAAAAATTGAATAGAGTTAGGTTATTAGGCGTGAGGGTTTGGAGAAAAAAAGAAAATAAGAAAATAAGAGAAAAATAGAATTAGGAAAAGAGAGTAACGTGTTAGGTTACACAACTACACCCAACACACACACACACACACACACACACATATATATATTGAGCTTTTTAACTATGACCACTCTTAACTTCGTACTCGGATGTCGCATTCGCAAATGTGATATATGATCAGTATTATGCATGGGTTATAGTATTATGCAAATGTGATATGATATTTCACTCCATAATCAATGCAGTGAGAATGAAATTTCACATGGAAAACTTATATTACATTTGCTAATGCAACATCCGGGTGTGAAGTTAAGTTTGGTTAAAATTAGAAAGATCTATGTGGTTAAACTTGTGTCCTAACTTGAAAATGAATCACCATGTTGCAAAGGATGGAACACTATAATATCCTTAATCTAGAAATAATACATAACACTCGCCCAAAAGTTGGTGCATAGATATCCTTCATGCCCAACTCGCAAACAATGGGGTGAAAAAACTTGCTACAAATCCATTTTGTGAAGACATTAACCAAATGGTTTTCTGATTTCACAAAAGGCCTATAAATCAAACTCTTGTTTAATTTCTCTTTAATGAAGTGTCAGCCGATTTCAATATGATTAGTTCTATCATGTTGAACTGGATTATGGTCTATGTTGATAGCAACTATCACATTATAGTCTCATAGGTCCATCATCATAAATTTCTAGCTCTCCTAGTAATGTTTGGAGCCACATAAGCTCGTAGATTTCATGAGTCATGTCTTTATATTCAACCTCTGCAATAGACCGCGCCCCCGTTGCATGCTTTTTGCTTTGCCATGTGATAAGATTACCTCCAATCAAGGTTCAATAGCCTGAAGTATATCGTCTATCATCCATTAAACCTTCTCAGTTTGCATCACTAAATGCTTCTGGTTTCAAGTGATCATTATTGGAGAACAAGATCTATTTTTCTGCAGCTAATTTAAGATATTTAAAAATTGCAATAAATAGCTTCAAGATGAGGAGTTTGAGGAACATGTATGAATTNATATGTTTCTGGTTTCAAGTGATCATTATTGGAGAACAAGATCTATTTTTCTGTAGCTAATTTAAGATATTTAAAAATTGCAATAAATAGCTTCAAGATGAGGAGTTTGAGGAACATGTATGAATTGATTGACAACACTCACCGTATAAGCAATATCTGGCCGGGTATGTGAGAGATATATTAATTTCCCCACATGGTTCAAAGTTTTGTTTCAGGGGCATGTTATGATTAGCCGAAAAATGGAAACGCAATGGAAAGTATTTTTTTTTTTTTCATAAAAATCAATTGAAAAATTAGGAGAATATGTTTTTACCATCCCTATGTAGTTTAAGAATAAAAAAATATTCATTTTTTATCAACAAGCTTAGTATTCATTAGCTGAAATTCTAATGAAATGTGCAACATCTATATCATAGTGAAATCAAATGATCGTGAAGGGAAATNTTTATCAACAAGCTTAGTATTCATTAGCTGAAATTCTAATGAAATGTGCAACATCTATATCATAGTGAAATCAAATGATCGTGAAGGGAAATATTTTGTCATAAATCCTGTGTAAATGTCCAATTGAGAATATATATGATTTATGACAAGAAGCTCCAACAGTCTGTGTATAAAATAAAGCGCTCCAAATCGTAGTAGCCTCTTCATCATTGCTCATTCAACAATAATTATAAGAATGACCGTAATCTCATAAAATCAAAACAGTTAAGTGATATATCCCTAAGTTTAAGAAAATAAAAATCAAGTGCTACAAAAGTAATTTATTATGTCTAAAATTATGGAATCACGACTAATTTGCATGACTTTGCCTATTACTGTTATGACTGATGGACCGACGACTGCCATAATCCTCGTCTTGATTGGCATGACCAAAATGCTACTCCTCGGTGAAGTATATGTAAACTGGACTCCCTTCATTACGTAATTGCGGAGAACTAAAAATGTCAGTAATAGTTGGTCCACTAGTGAAATTGTCTTTATTCCCAACATTCTCACAATTACTATTCCCATAGAAACCAATAGCATCTCCACGACTATCATTATCATTATTGTATACATCATCAACACTAATTCCATTGCCAGCTTCATGAATGCCACCAGAAAGAATTGTTGGTCCCCTCATCAATAAATCAAAATCAACTTCGTCATCATCATCCACAACAATGTTCACACAACTAGCTCCTATCTTAGTTGCTCCAACCTCATTGAACTAGGTCAGCTTAACCTTTCTGCGCATGTAGCCAAAAAAGAATTTGGTTTACTAGTGTGTAGTCCATCATTGTCATTTTCATCTAAAAGTGCATCTCCCGTCTTATCCAACCAATCTGTAAGCAACTCATCATCTTCAAATAAATGAGCTAAATCAATTGGCCTAAAACCAAGATCCACCTTTCTTTTGTCTTTCATGAGATGACACAGTCTCAATCTTTGGTGTGCGTAGACTAACCTCTCCAGCTTCTCATAGTTAAGGCGGTTGCGCACTTTAGTATGGATGAGAGAAAATGTAGTCTAATTTCTTTCATACCCACTGGAAGAAGCTGTTCGTCGTCAAAGTCCACCCCTCACACATAATTGTAATTTATATAATAAAATAAGAGTGTATTTGAATTTTATCCCAGTCATATTTTCCTCCTCAAAACTACCACCAATCACTTATCTTACCCATCATCCTTTTGTCAGACTCAAACGTCAAATCACATCACTTATTTCTATCATATGTTTAATCATTTATATATTTATTCCATAAAAATATTACATTACTCATTTCTATAATATATTTAATAATTTAATATTTGATTAATTTGTAATTAATATATTTTTAAAAAAATTGATATAACGAGATCAATTTTTTGGACACTCAAATTTTATATTTTATCGTGCCTTCAGGCACGGGTTGTGACTAGTACCATATATTTCCCACTTCTTAAAATTGTCAACATACTCCTTTATCTCTTCAATTTCTGCATCNTACCCACTGGAAGAAGCTGTTCGTCGTCAAAGTCCACCCCTCACACATAATTGTAATACCATATGTTTCCCACTTCTTAAAATTGTCAACATACTCCTTTATCTCTTCAATTTCTGCATGCAAAATAGGACCAGTACTCTCGTAAGTACTTGAACCTTTAATCCCCACTCCAGATCTAGCAATCTCATCTAATTAAGGTCTGGAAATAAATATTTCTAGCTGCATTAGGAGGTACATTACTATGAACCACTTCCCTATGGCCTCCTTTGCAAATTTCACGTACTTGTTGGAACCAAATAGATTTGGTATCCTCTGTTGTACGCAATCACGGTTCCTGTAAAGAGAAGAATCCATCTCCTCTATGCTTAAGGCCTTTGATTTCTTTCTAAATGTTTCTGACTTCCCCTTCCTGTTGTTCAAATTTTCTCTAACATTAGGCGTCCGTAAAAGCCCAACATAGCCAGAAGAAGCACCCCCTTTTGATGATTCACTACTTTCATACCGGGCACTCCCTTTCTCAAACTCGTTTAGGTCATTGATAGACCTTTGCTTACCAACATGCTATTGTCTTCTCTCTCATTTGAGTCAACCTTATCGTCCTGATCACCATCGTCCACATCAATTCCATGCCACCTTCAGGTGGCTCCATTAAAGTCTCTCTAAGTGCTGCCCCCTAATTCCTCATTNTCATTTGAGTCAACCTTATCGTCCTGATCACCATCGTCCACATCAATTCCATGCCACCTTCAGGTGGCTCCATTAAAGTCTCTCTAAGTGCTGCCCCCTAATTCCTCATTCTCATTCCTTTGACTATCCAGGTGCTCCCTCATTGCCTTTGCCACCTCTACTTGTTCTCAACATTCGAAAAACGACCTGATGTATGTTGTTTTAAGCGGGAGAGCCAAGAACATTTCATATATTTCCCACAATATTTGCACTTTGTCTACGTATGATTATTGTCAATCATTATGCCATGATCCCTCCCAATATCCCTTTTCCTTCATTTAACCTCCTTTGGTGGCATACCTAATAACATCAACTCAATGGTCACAATTAGAAACCAACAATGTTATTATGCATAGCAAGATTAATTGTTACATAGCAGACCAATTGTAAGACAAGCTTAAGACAAAGATAGATAACTGAATAAGAGTTGGAAATGTCTAGTGATCTCGCATAACACGATTCATGTTGTGTAGGTGAATTGATATAAAGTAACTTGAGGGTGTAATTGATCTGAAGAAATTCGGGGTAGCATTATCAAGTTTTTATAAACTCTTATGTCAAACACAAGAAAATTTTCTCCAAATGGTAGAACAAATCACTTTGAATTCGTAATTACAATTTACAATTACAAATCTGTAGAAGAAAAATCAATACAGATTTCATGAATTATAACATACCTGTTTTTGTCGAATTATTGGAACCCTCGGTTGATCTTCAACGTTCGTATGGTCTTCAGCCTTTTCATTGATATCTTTCTTTGCACTTGATTTGGTTAGGAATTGGAAAAAGAGTGTGGTTAAGGATTTGTTTTTGTTAGAGTTCAGCCAGATATTGTTATGGTGCAAGAGTCTAAATTGATAGTCATTGATAGGAGTAAAAAGTGTGTGGGGGTCTAGGTTATGAAATTGAGTGTTCTTATTTGTTGTTAGGTGGATAGGGAGAGGTAGTCATTATTTGGGATGAGAGGTCAGCGGTGATGNTGTCATTCCTTTGACTATCCAGGTGCTCCCTCATTGCCTTTGCCACCTCTACTTGTTCTCAACATTCGAAAAACGACCTGATATATGTTGTTTTAAGCGGGAGAGCCAAGAACATTTCATATATTTCCCACAATATTTGCACTTTGTCTACGTATGATTATTGTCAATCATTATGCCATGATCCCTCCCAATATCCCTTTTCCTTCATTTAACCTCCTTTGGTGGCATACCTAATAACATCAACTCAATGGTCACAATTAGAAACCAACAATGTTATTATGCATAGCAAGATTAATTGTTACATAGCAGACCAATTGTAAGACAAGCTTAAGACAAAGATAGATAACTGAATAAGAGTTGGAAATGTCTAGTGATCTCGCATAACACGATTCATGTTGTGTAGGTGAATTGATATAAAGTAACTTGAGGGTGTAATTGATCTGAAGAAATTCGGGGTAGCATTATCAAGTTTTTATAAACTCTTATGTCAAACACAAGAAAATTGTCTCCAAATGGTAGAACAAATCACTTTGAATTCGTAATTACAATTTACAATTACAAATCTGTAGAAGAAAAATCAATACAGATTTCATGAATTATAACATACCTGTTTTTGTCGAATTATTGGAACCCTCGGTTGATCTTCAACGTTCGTATGGTCTTCAGCCTTTTCATTGATATCTTTCTTTGCACTTGATTTGGTTAGGAATTGGAAAAAGAGTGTGGTTAAGGATTTGTTTTTGTTAGAGTTCAGCCAGATATTGTTATGGTGCAAGAGTCTAAATTGATAGTCATTGATAGGAGTAAAAAGTGTGTGGGGGTCTAGGTTATGAAATTGAGTGTTCTTATTTGTTGTTAGGTGGATAGGGAGAGGTAGTCATTATTTGGGATGAGAGGTCAGCGGTGATGGAGGAATCAATTGGAGGTGAATATACAATTTCAATTAGGATTAGGAATTAGGATGGTCTTGATTGGTGGCTTATTGGAGTTTATGGACCAAATAAGCCGAGGTTAAGGGAATCATTATGGTGTATTGGGGGAGATTTTAATGTTAGTACGAGGGATTTTGATACTTTTATTAGAGAAACTGGACTTAGGGACACTTCCCTTTAATGGGACTTAGGGACCCTTCTCTTTGTCTTAGCCACCGAGGTCTTCGTATATGTTAGGCAAACCACTCAGTTTTTCACTGACATATGTTTATGTGGATGACATTGAAATTATCGGTGATGATTTTGGGGGTATTGCAAAGTTGAATGCCTTCCTCCTGAACCAATTCCATACTAAAGATCTGGAAAAACTCAAGTATTTCTTGGGTATTAAAGTGGTCAGATCTAAGCAGGGCATTTGTTTGTCTCAACAAAAGTATGTACTCGATATGCTNACAAACTCAAGTACTTCTTGGGTATTAAAGTTGTCAGATCTAAGCAGGGCATTTGTTTGTCTCAACAAAAGTATGTACTCGATATGCTAGCAGAAGAAGTTTACTAGGTGGTAGACCAATTGATGTTCCTATAGATTCGAATCAAAAGTTTTTGATGGATGATGGTGTATTGTTTGAAAATCCAGGTCGGTATCGCCGGTTGGTTGAGAAGCTAAATGATCTCACTATTACCCGATCAAATATTGTATATGCAATTAGTGTATGTAGCTAGTTTATGGGATGCTCGAGAATACCATATTGGAATGCAATCATTGCATTCTTCGATAAATATGCTCCTAGACTTGGGTAATTGTATTGAACTAATGGGCATCTTAGAGTGAAAGATTTTACATATGTTGATTGGTTTGACTCTCCCTTAGATCGAAGATTAACCACTAGATATTGACCTTCTTGGTATGTAATATGATTACATAGAAAGTAAAAAACAAACAGTAATAGCACAGTCCAGTGTTGAGGCTGAGTATAAGGCGATGACACATTAATAGTGAGTTGGCATGCTGGCAACACTTTCTTCAAGAGATTGATTTTCTAGCCCAGTTTCCATTGTAGTTATTTTGCGACAATCATGCAATTATTCATATTGTTGCTAATCCAGTATTNTATTAATAGTGAGTTGGCATGCTGGCAACACTTTCTTCAAGAGATTGATTTTCTAGCCCAGTTTCCGTTGTAGTTATTTTGCGACAATCATGCAATTATTCATATTGTTGCTAATCCAGTATTCCATGAGAGAACCAAACATATTGAAGTCGATTGCCACTTTATTTGTGACAAAATATTGGACGGAGATATTGCAACACTATTTATGAAATCTGAAGATCAGTTTGCAGATATGCTCACCAAAGCATTGAACCGTACTCATCTTACAACTATTTGTTTCAAGATTGGATTGTAAAGTATATAATCTAGTTTGAGGGGGAGTGTTGAGAGTATTATTATTATATTTTAAATAGTTGTAATAAGTATACATCTCTAAGGGTATACTACTCTTTTGTGTTTTATTAGATAATTATAAATACCAATTGATAGTGAGAGGTAGGGTAAGTTTTCACCCCTCTGTCTCTCTCCAAACCTAACAAGGTCCATTTAGGTATTCGTGTCCTTGGGTTTTATTTCGAGATTTATATGTCTATGATGGCCTATGTTTACAATCTTACTGCATAAATTGAAAACCTAANTAAGAGGTAGGGTAAGTTTTCACCCCTCTCTGTCTCTCTCCAAACCTAACAAGGTCCATTTAGGTATTCATGTCCTTGGGTTTTATTTCGAGATTTATATGTCTATGATGGCCTATGTTTACAATCTTACTGCATAAATTGAAAACCTAAGTGCACCAAGCATCTAATGATGGGGAGTACGTTGTTAGGGTATTTGCTATCATTTTGCAAGTTTCTTTGCAATGTTAGGAGGTTGGAAAGTGAGCTTTTTGTCCTTGTAATCGTATGATGCATGCTTTTGGTAGAATTTAGTCTATGAGTTTTAGATTTGGCCACTAGTTGAACACAATAGGGAAAACTTCGATCAACCTTGACTTCATACTCGAATATTGCATTGGTAAATGTGATATATGTTTTTCATGTGAAATTGCATTCTCGATGATTATAGTGTTCTAGCCTTTACAAGATGGTGATTCTTAATATTAGTCACATCCTTTAGGTTTCGACACTAGGTTAACAAAAAAAAGCTTTCCAAATTTGAAAGATGTGAGATGCATGATTTCCTATCATAAGATCACACTATGCTTTCATGTCTCCTGCCACCCACCCTCAAAAGGACAAGTGTGGGCTTGAAGTCCCAAGTCTCAACTGAGCAAATGATGCTTCTTGTGATAATTAAACCAAAATAGAGGAAGTGATGAAATCTACTTATCGCATGCCTAAACTATTTCAATTGTATATTGAATTGGGGAATTATCTGTTTATAATATATTTTCTCGTCTTTATCGTTTATCCTCACTCCATGAGGTTCCTATTTCCTCTTTTTTTTTTTTTTTTTTTTTNATTATTTCAATTGTATATTGAATTGGGGAATTATCTTTTTATAATATATTTTCTCGTCTTTATCGTTTATCCTCACTCCATGAGGTTCCTATTTCCTCTTTTTTTTTCTTTTTTTTTTTTTGTCAAGGGAATGGACTTATGTTCTTGGGATTTTCATTCTTTAGGCATTTTAATGATAGGAAGGTAATTGATATGACTTCTTTGCTTCACATCCTCTTTCAACTTTGTTCTTCTCATGATAGTAAAATTTGGACAGTGGATAAATTTAAGATTTTCCCATGTAAATTCTTTTATTCATGTAAATTCTTTTATTCACACTAGGCCAAGTATATTTGGAAAGCCAAAGTTCCTTTTAAAATTAAGGTTTTTGTTTGGACCGTTATTCTTAATCGGATGAACACTAACGATTTGTTGTGGGTTTGGATGCCCTATAAATTATTGAGCGTCGATATTTGTCTTACTTGTTTGTGTAGTGGAGAATCGAATGCTCATTTGTTTATTTACATTGGTTTTGCTTGGATGTTGTGGAATACTTTATTCAGTTTGATTGGTGAGGCTTGGGTTTGCCCTTCTACACTGGAGTAGTTGTTGCAAATTAAGTATTGGGGTTTTGAAAATAAAAAGGAAGCCAAAGTACTATGACATTGTGCATTCATGACAATTCTTTGGTGTGTTTGAATGGAGAGAAATGCTAGAATTTTTAATAACCGTTCTCTAGCTTTTGAATTAGTATGGAAACAATTGGTTTTTATTGCTTCACTTTGGACCAAAGCCNCTATTCTTTGGTGTGTTTGAATGGAGAGAAATGCTAGAATTTTTAATAACCGTTCTCTACCTTTTGAATTAGTATGGAAACAATTGGTTTTTATTGCTTCACTTTGGACCAAAGCCACCGAAAACTTTAGATGGTTGCTCTTGTCAAATCTTCAAAGGAGTTGGATGACAGCTCTATTTTAGTTTTCTTTTATTCCTTTCTATAGTAAAATTTTTTCTTTTAACAAAAAAAAAAAAAAAAAAAGTTGGGCAGTGGCAAGCAAGGATTCATGTAGTCAATCCAAAAAATGTTGAGATAAAATTTTGTTGAGTTGAGTTGTTGGCCAGTGGACTCTCTTTAGCAAAACCAATTTCCACAATTTCGATCAAGGAAGGTAGTTTAGCTTGGTAGTGTTGGTCTGTGTGAAGTTCTTCTGGGCTGTATCCTTTTTAGCTCGCGTTATTTATTTTAATTGTCTTTGTAACTACTAACGTCAGCCCCATGGATACATATAATCTGCATCCCATCCCATCAGATTTGGATATTGTGGAAAATTATCTAAAATATCGCCATTCCACCCCTTTTGTTTTTGATACTCTGGAAAGCTACCGTTCAACAGGTTCAACCAATTTATATGGATAAGTTGGAGGAATTTGATTGGATGGAATCATGTTTTGTAATTAATTAAATCAAAATTCTATAAATTAGTAAATCGGGAGGGAAGATTTCCCGAGTCCTCTCCCTGTAATTTGATTCTTCTTATATTAATAGATAGACTGTTCGGCATCCATTGCGTTGATTTAATCATCTTTTATGTGCTTGCAGATGACTCTGATCCTTTGTCGTACTCGGCAAAAATTATCGAGTGTTCTTGGGATTCCGAGAAAGAGGTATGGGTATGTATGCGGATCAGAACAGATAAAGGGACCCCAAATGATTTCAACACATACAAGAAGGTCTATCCTATTCTCATATTTTATTTACTTTTTTAGCACTTATTGGACAAAATGATGGTGCTTACTGAATAAAAAACAGGTTATGCGAAGTATAAAAGACAATATCACAGAGGACATCTTGTTGAATGAGATTAATGAGATTATTCGCCTGCCCATGTATGCTGATAGAATACGGAATGACAGCAAACCCCACCCTCATTCTAATCCGGCACGCCGTCGGTGATGGGTGGATCGATGAGTGAATGGAGACGTCATGCGGATACTAAAGTTAGGGCAAACTCCGGTCAGATGTAGCCTGTGGCGCTCGCCGGCCAAAGGTATTAGCCGAGTTTGGTTCCCTTTGAAGTTGGCTATGTGCATGGGAGTATCAGCAAAAGGGTCATATTTAGAGAAATTGTGTGGCTACCCCTTTGTTATGGCCCTTGTAATGTGTGCTATACTGGAGAGAGTTGTATGATCCAGTTGGTGCACTAGTATAATCCCTGACATCAGAGTTCCTTCCATCTGATCGTATTTTCTAGATTGAAGGGATTAGCAATAGGATCACCATGTATATTTATTAGCATTATTAGTTTTTCTTCTTCCGCTTATTAATTGGTTAGTTGTGCAAAAAAGGCGGTTCTTCCTCTACACAGTAATTTTATGTTTCATAAGAAGTGCTTCTGCTTCTCTTCTCTGCTAATATTAGATTAAAACGGCCCTTGTCTCTCTCTCTCTCTCTCTCTAGAAATGATATCGTGTTTTTTTGGGTTTTGTGCAACAGTTGGCTGGGTTCTGATATCATTTGTTTGGGGTTTAATCTCGCAGCAATTTGGTTTGGTTTGTAATGGCGAAAGAATAGATAAATGAATCAAAAACGTACTCAAGAGAATACAACACTTTAAGATTCAGCTGTCAACCGAACACGGATGTTGTCTACTCTTTCTTTGGGAGGTTTGGAGGGAGTGGAGCTCTGTATTTCCGCATAGCATGTTCCTTTTCCACGATGTACTGCTATCTCCTGTGTTTTAGGAAAATCCTTGACACCCAACACTGGCCCAAAAGAATTGTTGAATGACATAAGGTCGGATATACGATAAAATGTTGGGTGTAACGATGATATTATGTTATTATTGACACGTGGTGTGTCACCATCCAATAACAGACAACCTCATTTGAGTGGTTATTAAATAAAATGACAGAGTAATTACTAGAAAATGTGAAATTCACTAGTTGATATATTATATTATCGTTGAACGGTTACACCATATATGACATGCATGCAGCAAAAGTTAAATCCAATATATTTTTTAGATACACAATAATTATATATGGAGTTTAATAGTACTTTTGGTTCTTAAAATATGTATGTTTTGCCGGATTAGTTTTCATTGTATTAATTTTGTCAATTTGCTCCTTAAAGTATTCAATTTGTATCATTTTTGTCTCTACATAGATGGATACGTTGTGTTGGGCATGTGATATCGTCTAAAAAAATAACAAGTTGTCACTNACATATTATCTTATCATTGAACGGTTACACCATATATGACATGCATGCAGCAAAAGTTAAACCCAATATATTTTTTAGATACACAATAATTATATATGGAGTTTAATAGTACTTTTGGTTCCTAAAATATGCATTTTTTGCCGGATTAGTTTTCATTGTATTAATTTTGTCAATTTGCTCCTTAAAGTATTCAATTTGTATCATTTTTGTCCCTACATAAATGGATACGTTGTGTTGGGCATGTGATATCGTCTAAAAAAATAACAAGTTGTCACTTCCGTTAAAAAATTTTAAGAACCAAAGTGATATAAATTGAATACTTTAAGAACTAAATTAATACAAGGAGAACTAAACTGACAAAAAATACATATTTTAAGAACTAAAAGTACTATTAACCCTTATATATAATACTCTCAGTAGGAGACTGAATCACCCCCATCTCATATTTTACGCCAAGCAACTTGGTTCATTCTTCAAACGAAATCAAATTGTTCAAGTGAATGTGGCCGAAGCATTTTGTCACATTGAGTTTGTAGCAATGGTGGCTCTGCATTTTGTTGGTCTNAGAACTAAAAGTACTATTAACCCTTATATATAATACTCTCAGTGGGAGACTGAATCACCCCCATCTCATATTTTACGCCAAGCAACTTGGTTCCTTCGTCAAACGAAATCAAATTGTTCAAGTGAATGTGGCTGAAGCATTTTGTCACATTGAGTTTGTAGCAATGGTGGCTCTGCATTTTGTTGGTCTCTGCTGTCAATCCAAAACGCTAAAATGATCTTAAATAGCTTAAATGCCAAGATGATACTCAGATTAGACAAGATTGTCTCTAAAATTGGAGAAAAAAGGCCAAAGAAGAGGGAGAGGGAGGGAAGATGGGAAGGAGGGAGGATTTCCTCAGTCCTCACTACAGTTGTCCCTTGTTGCAAACAAGTATTTTCTGTAACTGAAAAATTACAAGCGTAAGTGGATTACAACCAAACTTTTCGTGGTATATAACTAGGACTGATAATTGAACTGAACTACTCGCATTCAGCTCGTTTTGAACTCGGTTCATTTCTTAAATGAGTTGAGCTTGAATTTTTTTTTAAACTCGTTTAGAAAAATGAGTCTAAAGGCTCTATTAGAATTTGCAAAACTTAACTCGTTTATAAATAAACTAATCAAGTTACTTTGGCTCGACTTGTTACTTGAACAAAATTTTAAGCTATTTTAGAAAAAAAGCTCGACAAACTCGGCTCAGGTTCGGAAAACTCGACTCGATTATCATCCCGACATATGAATGTTCATCTCAGCCCAAGCCAATAACATTTTTCCATCTCTTAATCAAGAGAAAACTAATTAAATTCCTTTATCCCATCTTAATAGAAGAAGAATCATCCACATAGCAGTAGTTGTTAGATGCTACAAATGAAACACCATTTTTGAGAGTACTGATTGCCAACCCAAGCAAAGGGGGAAAAACTATACTAGAATGTGTGAGAAACTGCAAGGATTGGGAAGAAAATGGTAATTCAATATGCAAATTTTCTCTCTCCAAAAGAATCTTCACATATAAATCAACTTGTGCTCCTAAAATGGTGACATTAGTATGATTTTTACCAACCTATCAGTTTCTCTTGATCTAAGTTCTCAGTTTTTGTTGGGTGCATCATGCTAAGTTGCTAACAGCATAACTACACACTTTTCCTTGGATTATTTGACTTTTGAAAGAAATAATCTTCTAAACGGCGTAAAAAGTGTATCCAGTGCACGAGACTCCTGTCATTGCGGGGTCTGAAGAGAGTTAGATGTAAGTTGCAAACAAAGAGACTTTTTTTGCGATCCGAACCCATGACCTCCAAATACTACAAATGAATTAAAAAATAACAAATAAATACCTAAAGCAATAAAGCTAATAGGTACTACAAATGGTAACCAAATTTCCAGATTATTTCAAGTTTCAAAAACAACTTATCAAGTTTTCATCTTCCAAAGGAGAAATCAAACCTACATGTTCCTTTTGCCCAACTTGCAATGAATTTTTTTGTGTTTGAGGCTCATACACACAAGAAACTATTCGATCACCTCCTTCAAATATCAACGAATTAACTCCTAATTTTCCAACTGTTATACTCATTCAGATTGCAAATTTTCATTATCTGAAATTCTGTGCTTGAGCATGAAATCAGCCAGTGTCATTCTTCTTCTATGTCCATACTCCTGATACACCATTAGACAGATTTCTGGAGATTTCGAAATTTAGTTTCCCAACAGATTTCTCCAAAAATAGAGCTCTCAACCAAAGTAGTGAAGATTGAAGTTACAAAATCCTCAACGAAGGCAGAGGATCTTAAGTACTGCAATTAACCCAACAGACAGAATCCAGCAATCTAGATGATCCTAGATTATACATAAGAACATCACCTGAGATGTTACATATCTGAGACAAATCTAAAGTACACTCCAGAACAAGCTCAACAATGGTTACAATAATACTTCTACTACTACTAATAATAAGAGTAGTTTGAATATCTCAGCAAATAACTCTACCTAGGTCATGTTTGGTGTTTATCTTTGACAAAGCTAATCCCAACCCAAATAAAAAGGGGTCATGTAGATGTGGGCTAAGGAATGTGTTGCCTGAAGCTTTCAACATCCCGGAAGGACAAGGAGAGCATTGAGAGGTTGAATCCATACTAAATAAGATGGCATAGACATAAAATAGGATTGATGGACAAATGCCAAATGCCACATAAGAAGCTTTTATTGACCTTTTTTGCTAATCTAACAAGTGACATCCTAGATTTCTTCTAGTTTTAACTTGAGGGTTATTGGACCTTGGAGTATGGCATCTGACATGAATAGAGCTGAGGCTATGTATAACCAAATCCAACTACTGAGGGAGCAAGGAACATGTGGCGTTTATCAACTACCCAAGGTTAAAGCCTTTGTAAATTAATTTACCCCCAAAATATCCAACTTACCCCCCAAAATACTGTATCTTAGGGATGAAACCAAATTCAGAAACAGCAGAAGGGAGTTTAATTTATGATTTTCATCTCAAGTTATCGAGTCATTATATGAGCTACCACGGAAGAGATGATGGGAAGTGGTAGTATCTATCAAATTACTTAATGTCGAGATCAAGTTCAGCAACTTCTTTCCTACAGCTTCCAAGTGGTGAACAAAAGCATCAATCTAAGCATGACAGCCCAAAAAACTACCTAACTAATTTTTAAACATGACAGCCAAAAAAACTACCTAACCACTACCTCAACAATCAGTACCTAAAGAATTTAACTTCATTTAAAACGACAGTTTCGCACATATGTGCGAAAGACTTGATTCATTGAAAAGCAAATGAACTGAAAAGCATCAACCATTGGAGTTCCAAATCAAAGAAATAGTAAGCTATCGAAGTTTGAACATGCAATGACAAGTGTAATAAGCACAAAATGACATAAAAAAAAAAAGGATTCTCAAGGTGAATCAGTAGACCTGCAAGACAGGTCTCTTGCCAAGCCTCTTGATTTCTCTATCCATTTGACCAGTAAGCATCAACCCAAACATTTTGAAATCACACAAAAGAGACCAAACAGGGTGACCAAACGTTGCAGGAACATTCCCTTCAACGAAGAAATGGCTGTACCAGGCCAAGCCATACCCAAACAAAGGCACAAAGATCAAAAACCACCAGTTAAAGACCACAGAATACATCAAACACAACATACTACAAAGGGTGCCCACAAAGTGCCAACGCCTTGTTGCTGGTTTTGAGTGTTGGCTCATGTAGAAGGACCAAAACTCTTCCATGCTTCTGAAATTCATAGCTGCAACAGGAACAAATTGAACACAATATCTTCCTGAAAAACCTCAATCAGAAATGACCCAAATCGGAATCTTAACTGAATAAGTTCTTGCAAAACCCTCACTAGTGAAAAGATCCAAAATTGGTTTCCAGGTTTGAGTGGCTTTTGTAAAAGAACAGTTGGTATTGGCTATGGACGGCTAGAGCCTAAGCTCATCAGTTCTTGGGCATATGATTGAATTGAAATGTTCGAATTTGGAACCAAACCCAGAAATTTGTGAGTAAAAATAGTTCTGTGTATGATTCAAAATCCAACAAAAAAATGATTTGGGTGGTTGACTCAGTTTTGAGCAGGTTTGGCACCTGGAAGTCTCCCCACCTACTACTGTGGAGACTGTTCTGTTTGGTCTGGTTAGATATAAGAAAGAGGAGTGTTTTTCGGATTGAAGGGCGGATGGTTGCTCTCTTTTGGTCTGTGAAGAGATGATAATCGGTTGACGGGTCTAATACGGAACAGTTTCATTGTTCCTATCGTTTGTAGATGTGTGATGACAAAAGTTTTGCGACGTTGAAGAAATCAAATGGTTGGTCCCTGTTCTTGCTTTATTCGCCAGACAAGAGACATATTTGTCCATTATTAATGTAGGTGTTCCCTTTGGCCAATAGTTTGGAGTAACCTATTTAAATACTTGAACCAATTGTAAGTATACCTCCTATCAGGATACTTCTATCAATGTTTAATCAAAGGCCAAGAATTATCGTTGACATTTCCTAAAAAAAAATTTTCCACTTATCCGTCTGTACATATTGTCTCATGTGAATATTGTCTCCTCGACAACACAGAGCTAAGTGTTGAAGAACAAGTTTAACTCTATCAAATTGTTGTAACTGTAGAGATTTGAACTCAAACATTGAATAATGAAATTCGAATTCTTATCTATTAAACCAACCGCTCGGTGGTATATTTGCTAACATTTGCACAAATGACATATACCATCCTCATTATTATTTTATGAAGTTGTATGAGACAAATCTTATCTTCGTTGGAATATATTGTATTCATACAAAAATGTATGTTTCAATACTCAATTTTATCACGGGTATAAAATTGAAATTCTTTTTCGAAGCTACTTCTAATGAAAATTAAATTTACATGAATCCAAACACCCTACCCAGTACCCAAAAAAGAACACCATACCCACCTTCTTTCAGTTTTCAATCTCTCCCTAAAAAAAAATAAATTAATTCCCTATTCCCCTTAGCCCCTTCCTCCAGTAGCTCCCTCTTGTCAGCACCACCCTTAGCCTCTAGTTCCCTTTCCCTTGCAGCCCTNATTTCTAATGAAAATAAAATTTACATGAATCCAAACACCCTACCCAGTACCCAAAAAAGAACACCGTACCCACCTTTCTTTCAGTTTTCAATCTCTCCCTAAAAAAAAAAAAAATTAATTCCCTATTCCCCTTAGCCCCTTCCTCCAGTAGCTCCCTCTTGTCAGCANACTTCTAATGAAAATTAAATTTACATGAATCCAAACACCCTACCCAGTACCCAAAAAAGAACACCATACCCACCTTCTTTCAGTTTTCAATCTCTCCCTAAAAAAAAATAAATTAATTCCCTATTCCCCTTAGCCCCTTCCTCCAGTAGCTCCCTCTTGTCAGCACCACCCTTAGCCTCTAGTTCCCTTTCCCTTGCAGCCCTCCCTCACTCCCACTACCATGCACAGCACCTACAGCCATGAACCCACCCCCTCCAGCAGCACCTGGAACAACCCCCCTCCACTGTCTCAAAATGAGCATTATGAACACATGTACTAGACACCTTGTGAGTCTGATTATATAGGTTATCTATCTACAATTCAACTGACGCTACTGTTTCTGTGTCTACCCTAGTTGGTGACCCTTTATTTTTGTAGCAAAAAAAAAAAAACAATGCTCCAATTTTCTGCCCTTCAGTTGCAAAGGCCAAGGGAAGACAAGACAAAACGATAACAAATCAAAAATAAATAAATACACTTTTACTACCACTTAGAGTGCAACAAATTGGCATAGCAATTTCTTAGACATGTCCTTCTTCACCATGAGAATCTGGAATCAAAGCTTAAGCCTGCCTAACGATGGCACNAAGAGTGCAACAAATTGATATAGCAATTTCTTAGACATTTCCTTCTTCACCATGAGAATCTGGAATCAAAGCTTAAGCCTGCCTAACGATGGCACAACTGTCAACTTGCGAAAAATACAATATCGATCTCTCTTCTTTCAACCAAACCTACTAGAAACTGACATTTTTTGCGGGTCTAAAGAACCCTAAAAAACAATATACATGCCGAAGTGATTACTCACTTTAAACCACACATTGAAAAAATGACTCAATAGTTGAAACAATGAATATGTGCACCTGTTCCTCCTTCTCTTATGGATATGCCCTGATAATTATTATTGTATATAACTGGTTCGTTTTTTTTTTTCATTCTAGAATACCCTCTCACCAGTAGCGTATAGGTTCCAAAAGATGGTTGTCAGAAAATAGAGACCAGCTGTGACAGTTAAGAATGCTTGGAAGGATCCCAACCACTGCACAAAGTAACCTGTTCCAATCGTACTAACTATTGCTGCCAATGTCCCAGCAGAATTTGAGATCCCTGTTTGATAAGTTTATCGTATAAAAACTGTCACTATTTCACGAACTGGTAAACAAAAAATTTAGATAAGACATAAGGGTGGTTTCAAAAACATACCATGGAGGAATCCTGCATACTGCGGTGCAATATCCTGAACAAATAAACGTGAGATTAAAATCATGATAATTGTAATGGAGGGTAAACTAGTTGTCACTTGTCAGTGAAAAACTATATATAGATGTTAAAGCATTAAAGGTTCCAGTTCTATGGTTAAAACTTAAAAAGTTTTTGCAATAAATTTGGATCTTACCTGCATATTCAGCAGAAAGCCTGCTTGACTGAAAGCGCTCAAGCTTAGAGCCACTGTGATCAACATGGCTGCAGCCACTGGTGTCTTGGCGTAGTTCAAGCATAGCAATGCCATCCCAGGTCCAATGAAACCGATAGACTGTCATGTTCAATGAAAAGAGTTTTGGTATTAACTTCATAAGAAGTACATACGGTAAAAAGGTAACAGATGGTTAAATGTACCCATATGAGATGTTAATTTGTTTAACTTGTACTTCTTTTCTTTACTAGTTCCACTTGAAAGAGGTGACGATCAAGAAAACCGTGATCCAAATCTTAGTTAACAAATAAAAACAAGGACTGAATTTCGAGTCATTTGTTGTAATATATATGCTTGTACTTTCTCAACCTTTGGTGGTGAACCATTCAGTCTCGATGATATTCACCATTATAAGCTGCTGCTATTATCATTTCCAACTCTTGATTATGGTGCAAACAAAGCAATAAGCATTGATAAATCATAATTTTTAAGAGGAACTTCAGGGTAGTTTTTTCCACTTTCTAACAGTTGTTTATTCTGTCTTCGCTCCAGATGATGGTTAAACAGTTACCTGCATGATTTTCCGGACTAGTGTTAAAGAATATCCTCTTTTGATTAAGAAATCTGATGCTGCCCCAGCAAAGTAGCCAGATATTGCCATGGTTCCCCATGGGACCGCACTAAACCAAGCCGCTTGCTTCAAATTAACATTGTACACCTGTTGAAACAACAGCAAAACTTCATATAAAACTTGTAAGGTTAGTTATCATAGTCGCATACCACTTTTGCAGACTCTTCACCATGGTGAGTAGCCAGTAAAGATGTTCGAGATCAGCCAACTTTATTTAAAAATTGTGGCAATTGTTCATGAAAAAGTTAGCCAAATTTCCTGTGGTCAGTAGATAAAACTATATCTTAGATGATGTCTCTCTTGATGAATAGCAAACAAAAAATTTAAGACATCTGTATCAAGTTACTACATACCTTTAGAAAACTTCGGTCCAGAGGAAAGAGCAAAAGCTCATGAGTTGGTTCTAACGCCCTATCTATAGTATAGTAAAGGGGCTTTTCAATAAGGCTCGCGCTAGGCGCTCACGCTTTTTGGCTTCCCTAAAATCGAGAATTTTGAAGTTCGTAAAAACCCGCCCCTTGTTTCAGTCAGAATGAGTCCCAAGTTGCACTACTATCAACCCATTGGGAACGTATGCAAGATAGTACCAATAAAGAGTAAAAGCAAAATAGTAGAAGTTCCAGGAGATTGTTACTCACGGTTTTAAAATATACAGGCATCCAAGAGAGGAGAACAAAGTAGCCCTGCATTCAAGAGAATGTTCCATATTCATTAAGTATGACCTTCAACATTAACCAGTAGCACAATTTATTCTCATTCCTCTGGGAAGGAAAAAAGGGGGAAAAAAGAACAAGAGAACCTACCCAATTGTTAGTAACATTAGCAAAAATAATGGCCCATGTAGGCATCTTCGAAAAAAGGAGACGCAGAGGTGGAAGCTTGCCCTTGTTTACAGGGGAATCTGATTTTCCAGCTTGGATTAACCGCAGCTCTGATTTACTGATAGAATGGCTTTCTTGTGGATCATTTGTGACTCGAGAGGTCCATGTCGTTAGCCAGAGCAGTCCGAGAGATGAGAAGAGAATGAAAGGACCGGCAATTCCAATTGATGACATTGCCAAAGGAGTTATTACTAAGCCCACAACATTTCCAAGGTGAAATCCACCCATAGATAATCCAACAGCAGTAGCGCGTTCATGGCTAGGAAACCACCTAATGAAATATAAACATATTTACTGTCATTATGCGGAATTCCTATGCCAAGCAAAAAGTTCCTTTACCTCCACAAGCGGTTCAATTTCCAGATTCAAAATCTAACTACATAGACTTAATACGAAAAAAATATCAAACCAAGGTCTCAGGCTTGTCATATGTGCAGCTAAAGATCATCAAAATCCAACTTGACTAACAACCTAATCTTGCAACACTGAGCTTGGCTAGATCAGGCATGTGATTGAAGTTTCTAGTATTGCTAGATGAACATAAATATAGCCTGATTAAACCATGCTTTGATTGGTTAGCTAGGCCTAAAGTCACTTGTTAAAGAATTATCACCTTGACAAAAGGGTATTCATGGAAGGTAGAGCTACTCCTTCAGCGAATCCAAAGAAAGCACGAACAGCCAAGAGGCTGGCTGTTGAATGGTTTGCCGCCCAGGGTGTGAGCAGAGTTGCTAAAGACCACAATGCCACGCCCCAAGCAATCACTCTCTTTCCTCCATATCTGTCAACCAAGGCTCCTCCAATAACTGATGAAAATATGTATCCCCATAGGAACGATGACTGCATATGATCAGGACATAATCGCGATCAAAACATAGGAATGACAAAATACATAATCTTTACTTCTTGATTGCAACATAATGTCGATTTTTGTTGTTGTACTATGTTTAGTTATAAATTGACCTAACAAAAATTATAACTTTTAATCCAAAACATTATAATTTCAGTGCCGTACCCTCTATTCTACCATATTTTTTTTAAAAGATGCAACACGAACACGAAGACTTTCCAGTGTCACCCAGTACTACTCTCGGCCAAGCTACTCAACCATGTTATTAACCACAATATGGTATATACACATGTAATGGCAGATAACATGTAAACATCAAGAATACAAATAATCTTCCAAGCCCGCCATCAAGGACCAGCCAAAAGAGGGGGTGGTACATCCCACTTCCACTTCAGTTCTTGGTGAAGTTCGGAGGGCCCAAGAAACTAAACAATTCTTCCCACTTAGATTGTGACACGTGGCAAGCCAAAACACGACAAAGAAGTCTTTCGTCACATTAGTGGAACCCACGTTTAGGGTTTTGTCAAGGAAGTCTCCCGGTGACAGCCAACCAACAACATTTATTTATTTATTTATTTTTTTTTTTTGTATTATGCGGAAGTTTGGGTCGAGTTACGGTGAATCTCTGACCAATTCTCTTCGCTCTTCCATTGAAGATAGATAATTTATATCAGGACTAAGGAATTGATAAATGACCCGATTTCAAAGAAGTTGCTAAATTTCAAAACTAAGATATCTAACTTCACGACTTATGATGTCTGCACTGGACTATCGGGTTAGGGACATGGCCCGACTCCAAAAAAGTTGTGAAGGTTCGANTTGCTAGATGAACATAAATATAGCCTGATTAAACCATGCTTTGATTGGTTAGCTAGGCCTAAAGCCACTTGTTAAAGAATTATCACCTTGACAAAAGGGTATTCATGGAAGGTAGAGCTACTCCTTCAGCGAATCCAAAGAAAGCACGAACAGCCAAGAGGCTGGCTGTTGAATGGTTTGCCGCCCAGGGTGTGAGCAGAGTTGCTAAAGACCACAATGCCACGCCCCAAGCAATCACTCTCTTTCCTCCATATCTGTCAACCAAGGCTCCTCCAATAACTGATGAAAATATGTATCCCCATAGGAACGATGACTGCATATGATCAGGACATAATCGCGATCAAAACATAGGAATGACAAAATACATAATCTTTACTTCTTGATTGCAACATAATGTCGATTTTTGTTGTTGTACTATGTTTAGTTATAAATTGACCTAACAAAAATTATAACTTTTAATCCAAAACATTATAATTTCAGTGCCGTACCCTCTATTCTACCATATTTTTTTTAAAAGATGCAACACGAACACGAAGACTTTCCAGGGTCACCCAGTACTACTCTCGGCCAAGCTACTCAACCATGTTATTAACCACAATATGGTATATACACATGTAATGGCAGATAACATGTAAACATCAAGAATACAAATAATCTTNTTCAGTGCCGTACCCTCTATTCTACCATATTTTTTTTAAAAGATGCAACACGAACACGAAGACTTTCCAGTGTCACCCAGTACTACTCTCGGCCAAGCTACTCAACCATGTTATTAACCACAATATGGTATATACACATGTAATGGCAGATAACATGTAAACATCAAGAATACAAATAATCTTCCAAGCCCGCCATCAAGGACCAGCCAAAAGAGGGGGTGGTACATCCCACTTCCACTTCAGTTCTTGGTGAAGTTCGGAGGGCCCAAGAAACTAAACAATTCTTCCCACTTAGATTGTGACACGTGGCAAGCCAAAACACGACAAAGAAGTCTTTCGTCACATTAGTGGAACCCACGTTTAGGGTTTTGTCAAGGAAGTCTCCCGGTGACAGCCAACCAACAACATTTATTTTTTCTTTTTTCTTTTTTTTTTTTTTTGTATTATGCGGAAGTTTGGGTCGAGTTACGGTGAATCTCTGACCAATTCTCTTCGCTNTATTTATTTATTTTTTTTTTTTGTATTATGCGGAAGTTTGGGTCGAGTTACGGTGAATCTCTGACCAATTCTCTTCGCTCTTCCATTGAAGATAGATAATTTATATCAGGACTAAGGAATTGATAAATGACCCGATTTCAAAGAAGTTGCTAAATTTCAAAACTAAGATATCTAACTTCACGACTTATGATGTCTGCACTGGACTATCGGGTTAGGGACATGGCCCGACTCCAAAAAAGTTGTGAAGGTTCGAAGTCGGAAGTAGGAACGTATTGTGATTAACTTTTAGTTCTCAACAACCACAAAAACATTTTCACTTCCCAAAATTGAAATTGAAAATCACACGGCAACTAGAAGAAATCTTCAACTAAACTTTCCGGGAAAAGGGTAGAGAAAATCTCAAGGAAAAGAAAATGATGGAACATGGAAGTTCACCAAACACTTGACATCATGACAGAGAGAGAGAGAGATAAAGTTGGAGTTACCTGGACAATGCCCAAGAAAGAGCTGTTCCAGCCATGTTTGGCAGCTAGGGGAACAATGGCCACGGACATAACAACTCTGTCTGCATTGCACAAACACATAACACACGCCATTAAAGCCACCACCTTGAACCTCTCCGGCATCTCGAATCTACCTTCTTCTCCTCTCCCTCCCACCAGCAATCCCCTCTCTATCCCCTCTGCCGTACACCTCACAACACATCCTCTCTGTCTCTTATTGATCTCCACAGGGTGCTGAGTTCTTCCTATTCTTACACCACCCCCCACTGACAAATTGACCCATTTTCTTGGAACATTTGGTTGAAATCCCAAATGGGTTTTCCTATAATAGATCGAACTTAAATGGGCTTTGAAGAAACTTGAAGAATTTGGATTAGAGGGATGTAACCGAGATCTTGTGGGTGTAACGGTTGCCATAGAGAGAGAAACTAGATTGCTTCTATGGGTATAATGCTAAAATGGATCTCCTTAAATGAACCAAAATGAACCATTAGAATAATGATTGCAATTCTATCATGAGGTTGTTGATAACAATGGAGGGATATTACCCAACAAAAAAAAAAATTGACAAACAAGACGGTTTGTTTTGGGTTCGGTGGGAATTGGAGCCTAGTAAGTAGCCGTGGTCATCCTAAAATAGAACTCTCAAGGGTATTTCCGTCCATGAAGATATCTCTCCTACGTAGCACTTACGTGTCTCTCTCGTCGGTTGCTGTTGCCACCAACCACCGGGGAATTGGGTGGCTGATAGCCAACTACCACCATTCTTGGGAGTGATACCGGCAACAGGCGGTACTAATTAAGCAAGGGACCATACGTTTTGCAAATGAGTAATAAAAAATTTCGTATAGATGANTGAAGATATCTCTCCTACGTAGCACTTACGTGTCTCTCTCGTCGGTTGCTGTTGCCACCAACCACCGGGGAACTGGGTGGCTGATAGCCAACTACCACCATTCTTGGGAGTGATACCGGCAACAGGCGGNCGGCTCATTAACCCCCAAATTGACACGTGTAAAGATGTAGTCATTATGGAACTCAAAGGCGCTGAAAAGTAATGGCTCGGAGAAGCCAAGTATATAAATTGACACCAGCATTTAAGATGACTTGACAACTTATTTTATGGAGATGTGAATGACTGAGACATGGCTATTAATGACCTCCTGCATCTTCGAGACCCAAAGAAGTAGTCATGATTGCGAAGCATTAATGGCTATTGAGCCGAGTATATCTCCTTAGCGCACCCCGAGGTACTGTTTCCCCGAGCATTGAGTAGGTGTCAAAGCGCCAATCAAAAGACTTGAATGACGGGGGATANGGTACTAATTAAGCAAGGGACCATACGTTTTGCAAATGAGTAATAAAAAATTTAGTATAGATGAAATCAATAAAAAAAATATATATATATCACTCGTTTTATTTGTATATTAATTATATATAAACATAATATCAATATAATATAATATAATTTGTCAAACATAAATTAATAAAAAAATTATATATTAATATTTAATCCGCACTCATTTCACTTCACACAATTTACCAAGGTAGCTAAAGTGTATGGTTATAACGATGGTGTGTAGCCAGTGATAGTTTAATACAGTAGTGTGGTGATTTTTGGGATGGTTCGTCTATGTGGGTCCCAGTCAAAATGGCCACATGGACGGTTCTGGGATCTTTGAATATTTCAACGACGGCACATATATATGCGGCGTAACGCACACGTTTCAAAATTAACTGTTCGGTAAAATGGTACAACAATAAAATATTGTGGGCCCTATTTTAGTAAGAGTAGTGTGGCTGCTAGATGTCAGATTGAATTGGATTTAAATAACACCCGATCCCGATCCAAATCCAAATGGATGGGTAATTAACAATATTATTTAGGGTTAATTATAAAACATTGTCTTGAATTATGAATTTTGTTTCAATCAGCTCCCTTAGGTTTAAAGTTGAACAATTTATTCCCATCTAATATTAAAATGAGCAAAAAAACAATGGGTCTATGTCAAAGGTAATAATAAAATGCAAAGTCATGAACAGAAAACAACCCAACGAGAAGATGTTATACAAAAAGAAACCCACAAAAAAACAAATCAGGTGCATGCAAAGCATACCAAACACACAAACCCCATCAATGACTCGTACGAACCATATTGTTCATGCGAAACAATTCATGACCATTTCAAACACCTTTTCAATACCATAATAGATTACCTTCAGTTGGTCTTCAAGCTCAATCACTATTGCTTCATTCGAGGAGATCGTCTACTACGAGAAGGATTTGCAAAATGCATAACAGAGTTAGAAAATAGGATCCGGAATGTTGAAAGTGGGTTAGTTTTATTTATCTTAGATTATATTTGCCAATTATGATTAATTTTTTGGCGTTAATTCATCCACCATGGTTAAAGATATTTTTGGAATTTCACAATCCCAATCAAGTCCGTTAATCAACTTGCTAATTCTGGAACTTTCTGGGGGGAAATTATTCAATTTTAAACATGAGGAAATTGATTGAAACAAAACTCATAGTTCAAGGGGATATTTTATAATTAACCCTATTATTTATTACAAATTTAATGATATAATTTGTTGATTTAATTCATTATAATTATTGAATTAATAGTGAATCCTAAAAAATATTGAAAATCACTATCATACTAATAACAGTGAGTGATTTGATTAATAAAATATGTCAAAATAGTATTGTTCATTTATTATTACTCAAAATAAACATTAATGATATAATTTAGACCGGATTTTAGACGGCTCATTAACCCCCAAATTGACACGTGTAAAGATGTAGTCATTATGGAACTCAAAGGCGCTGAAAAGTAATGGCTCGGAGAAGCCAAGTATATAAATTGACACCAGCATTTAAGATGACTTGACAACTTATTTTATGGAGATGTGAATGACTGAGACATGGCTATTAATGACCTCCTGCATCTTCGAGACCCAAAGAAGTAGTCATGATTGCGAAGCATTAATGGCTATTGAGCCGAGTATATCTCCTTAGCGCACCCCGAGGTACTGTTTCCCCGAGCATTGAGTAGGTGTCAAAGCGCCAATCAAAAGACTTGAATGACGGGGGATAGGGGCATAAGTGCTCAGTATATCCCGAGCAGTCACCTTATCGCCCGAGTAATCTAGGCTCGAATATCTGAATAAAGAACATTCATTATATATGGGTAAGAGTGCAAATCATTAAAAGTTGGGATGAGATTTCAAGCCTTGACACTCATTACGAATCCAGGTATAAAATATTTCTTAGAAAAATAAACAAAGGTATGCAAAATTAAATTGAGAAGAAAATAACACTGTGTTACAACCTCCAACCTTATACTGAATTAAGTTTCGGAGGGGATAAGCTGGGTATTCACCTGACATCTTTTCTAATCTTGTGGTTGTCTCAGGTTTATCATCGAAAGAATTGATATCTCAATCTATTACAGAAAATGTCCCGTGCAATTTTAATATGATAACTTGATTTGATTCGAATTTGTATGAAAAGATGATTAATGTTTTAATATTTTCATNGATGTCAGATTGAATTGGATTTAAATAACACCCGATCCCGATCCAAATCCAAATGGATGGGTAATTAACAATATTATTTAGGGTTAATTATAAAANGCTGTCAGATTAAATTGGATTTTAATAACACCCGATCCAGATCCAAATCCAAATGGATGGGTAATTAACAATATTATTTAGGGTTAATTATAAAACATTGTCTTGAATTATGAATTTTGTTTCAATCAGCTCCCTTAGGTTTAAAGTTGAACAATTTATTCCCATCTAATATTAGAATGAGCAAAAAAACAATGGGTCTATGTCAAAGGTAATAATAAAATGCAAAGTCATGAACAGAAAACAACCCAACGAGAAGATGTTATACAAAAAGAAACCCACAAAAAAACAAATCAGGTGCATGCAAAGCATACCAAACACACAAACCCCATCAATGACTCGTACGAACCATATTGTTCATGCGAAACAATTCATGGCCATTTCAAACACCTTTTCCATACCATAATAGATTACCTTCAGTTGGTCTTCAAGCTCAATCGCTATTGCTTCATTCGAGGAGATCGTCTACTACGAGAAGGATTTGCAAAATGCATAACAGAGTTAGAAAATAGGATCCGGAATGTTGAAAGTGGGTTAGTTTTATTTATCTTAGATTATATTTGCCAATTGTGATTAATTTTTTGGCGTTAATTCATCCACCATGGTTAAAGATATTTTTGGAATTTCACAATCCCAATCAAGTCCGTTAATCAACTTGCTCATTCTGGAACTTTCTGGGGGGAAATTATTCAATTTTAAACATGAGGAAATTGATTGAAACAAAACTCATAGTTCAAGGGGATATTTTATAATTAACCCTATTATTTATTACAAATTTAATGATATAATTTGTTGATTTAATTCATTATAATTATTGAATTAATAGTGAATCCTAAAAAATATTGAAAATCACTATCATACTAATAACAGTGAGTGATTTGATTAATAAAATATGTCAAAATAGTATTGTTCATTTATTATTACTCAAAATAAACATTAATGATATAATTTAGACCGGATTTTAGACAGCTCATTAACCCCAAAATTGACACGTGTAAAGATGTAGTCATTATGGAACTCAAAGACGCTGAAAAATAATGGCTCGGAGAAGCCAAGTATATAAATTGACACCAGCATTTAAGATGACTTGACAACTTATTTATGGAGATGTGAATGACTGAGACAGGACTATTAATGACCTCCTGCATCTTCGAGACCCAAAGAAGTAATCATGATTGCGAAGCATTAATGGCTATTGAGCTGAGTATATCTCCTTAGCGCACCCCGAGGTACTGTTTCTCCGAGCATTGAGTAGGTGTCAAAGCGCCAATCAAAAGACTTGAATGACGGGGGATAGGGGCATAAGTGCTCAGTATATCCCCGAGCAGTCATCTTATCGCCCGAGTAATCTAGGCTCGAATATCTGAATAAAGAACATTCATTATATATGGGTAAGAGTGCAAATCATTAAAAGTTGGGATGAGATTTCAAGCCTTGACACTCATTACGAATCCAGGTATAAAATATTTCTTAGAAAAATGAACAAAGGTATGCAAAATTAAATTGAGAAGAAAATAACACTGTGCTACAACCTCCAACCTCATACTGACTTAAGTTTCGGAGGGGATAAACCGGGTATTCACCTGACCTCTTTTCTAATCTTGTGGTTGTCTCAGGTTTATCATCGAAAGAATTGATATCTCAATCTATTACAGAAAATGTCCCGTGCAATTTTAATATGATAACTTGATTTGATTCGAATTTGTATGAAAAGATGATTAATGTTTTAATATTTTCATTTTTTGATATTGGACATAATTTTAGGATATGATTTGAGAACT